GTGGAATCTCGCTTCCAGGAAATTGGAAATGATAGAGTCATTTCCTCTGAAAAGGAGATACCAACTGAACTTTTCCCGGTGGTCGTTTAACTGGAAGGAGCTAATGTGTTGAGATAGAACGAGAATTAATATGGTTGGTTATAAAAATCATCGTGATTGTCATCACATATAGTGTACATGTTCCTTACGACTTTTTTCATTCTGCTCTTAAACAATCCCTTTGACAGAGAAAAAAAAATTTAAAGATAACGTGACAACCTTGTCATTTTTAGCAATATAGTTTGCGAGGAAGCGTCTATATGAAAGAGAATCGCATTCAAAATTTGGAACACGTTTGAGTGGCTCAAACTGTACATATGGAGAACGCACGAGTTCAGTTCACATTTCTTTTAATTTTTATTACTTGTAAAGAGATAAGAGTAGTATTCGGGACGTTTTATTTTGATAGAGGTTAGGATAAAGTTTGGAGTTCTCGGAGAAACTACTGATTCTCTTCGAAAAAAACTAGACATCTCTTTTCAAATTCCCGTGAAGTCATCCTGACGGAGGGAGGCAGCTCGTACCTAGCAGGACTTTCTAAAGTTTCTAGCATTTGTAAAGACGCTCTTAATGACGTCTTGACACACCAATCACGGCGAGAGTGAGCGTCTGAAAAACAAACCTCAACTCTGCAAGTTAGATTCTCAGAAATTTAGAACCCATTAAAGATATTCACCATCTGAACATCCCAACTAATGAGAGGTACTTACATTAAAAGAGATTATCCCAAGTAAATCTATTCTGTAAAGCAATAAGAACACTAATGTGGCCTTGAATTGCTGTAAAATATTGTAGAAGTCCGAGCTTTCGCCGCTCAACGGCATCATCAGGGACGGATGATGCCGATGAGCGGCGAAAGCTTGGACTTCTACAATATTTTACAGTAATTCAAGGCCACACTAGTGTTTTCATTGCTTTACCCAAAATGTTACTGAAGGACAATATTCAAAGATAGATCTATTCTGTAATTTGTAGATTTTAGTGTTTTTTGACCTTACGACTCCGCGCACGCTTTTAATAGAAAAACAGCTGACAAATGTAAAAATCCCGCTTTAAGAGCCGTGCACAATAGCGCGAGCAGGGCCAGAAAGAGCCTTACGGCCTCGCGAGCAGGGGGCGAACTGCGAGCTGAAAGGAGAGAGGAAAATAAGGGGGAGCAATACTCATATGATAAAATTCTTATTGACTTGGTTAGGTCAGGCCGGGCGGGAAAATATTTGGCTCTCTAGTCATCCCATACGTACCCATATCGCTGCTTGGTGCGCTCGTCGTGTTCTTGAGACCCTGAAATATTTTCCCATTCATCCATTCCACTCAGTCAATAAGTAAACTACATTAACCTAGCTGACATTCTTTCAAAACAATCTAAAAATCATGATCAGCACTAAGTCAATATTGCCTTTAAAGGAAATTTACATAACAAACCAGATATTTAGGAAAGGTGAATGCCTCGTTTTTCACCTACTTCAGCATTTCATGGAATTGGAATGGTAAATTTTTTCCCTTGATCGACAAAAAGGTTAAAAAATCATGGAAATGCTTTTCACACTTTTAACTCACTTCGACACTGAATAGAGGTTATGAGAAAAAAAACACCAGACGGAAAAAGGACTATTGCTTTCGAAATCTAGATTATAAAGGTCTCGTGGAATTAACTACCTTAGATCGCCGACCTTGTGAAGTATTTTACTCCAGTCAAATATTTCACCGTTCCCAGTCTTCAGGCACAGACTGAAACGTTAATTTTAATTGATATGGTTACTTTTTGACCAAGGCAAATTCCTAGCTTTACGACTAATGGAAACTAAAACTTCGAGAAACCTCTCCGATCATTTTGATTACCATCTATTTCAAACGTGGTCTCACTCAATTGGCCCGTAGTCTACCTATACTCGCGAGGATCAAAGTTAAGGATGTTAGCCATGTCTGAGAAGGCGGCATAACGTGCTCCATCCATGTCACTAGCTAACTGATTGTCAGATCGTAGCAGATGATTTCGACCACCGATTCTCGAGCCACATTCTGGACATTTGCCTTCTTCCATTGCCCCTCCACACTCTGTAATGCAGTAGATGTGACCTTAAAGAATAAAAGTATCGCGTTGAGATATCGATCATGACGTAAAAACTGCAGTCACAAGGGCAACAATCATTTCATTTATAGATCTATTTTTCTCTAAACAGCCATACTCACCCTTTGGACACTTAAACCAGTGTCCCTGCGTTAGCCCCATGGCTTTAACAATCAGATCTTTCTCTTGTCTTGTCACGGCTTGGTAGAAAACTTTAAGGTTTTGTTCACGTCTGATCCTTTTCATACGATTAAGATATCGTTCTCTTTTATCTTTGTCTAAAATTCACATTCAGATATAGGTTAGTAAACACCACCAGCTACTTACTCCAGGCGAAGATCTTTTGAGGAAATTCTCATACGCGGACAGCTCCTAACAATTATTGCCACAAGACCAAATCCCATTTTTAACTAATATCGGACAAAATATTTCGGAGAATCTTTTTTCAAATGCAAGTAGTTTATCTTTCGCTTTCATTAAAAGGAGAAGGTGCTCCTGACTGGACAATACTAATAACATCATATATCATTGTCAGGTAAGGTAAATATCGCAGAACAATATTCGCCCCGCGTTAAGGGAATACCGTCTCAGTCGCGGATCCAGAGGAGGGCCCCAGGGCCCCGTCCTCCCCACCCTTATTTTTGGACCAAACTGAGGCCCGAAGGGCCGAAAAAAAATTTTTGGAGACTGCCCGCCCCACCCATTTTATCTAAGGGTCTGGATGACCGGGGGCCCCCTTATCTCATGGTCTGGATCCGGCACTGATACAGTTCTACAATCACTATTCAGGTTATTGTCAGAACAATTAAAGTTGCCTTCATGTTATTCCCCAGAAAATTTAAAAAATTCCCGATTGCCTTTTTGTAAAACCAGCATATCAATCATAAGTTCACTGTGGCAAGATTGGACGTAGTCCTCTACCTATCCTGCACGTATCTCGACAATCATCTGAATACTCCTACCAAAACATGATATTTTTATCCTAAAAATGAAAAATGTTTTTGTCCTAAAATGAAAAAAATCCTTTTTCTCACCGATTACCGTCTCTGATTTCAGTGCTTGTTCTATGAAGTCAACCTTAACTCTGTCAGTAACTCTCAAACTGATTCCCCGTCCATCCAGTTGCATTTTCATCACTTTGTAGTCAGCAAGAAGCTCAGTTCTCAGCATTTCTTCATTGAGTTCCTCCAGTTCCTGATCGCTGAACCGAACTCGGGGTCGAGTGCCCATGACACGTATCCTGAGTTGGTCTATCTTACTTTCCAGGTCAACCCTGGTTTCTTGAATCAGAATCAGTGCTTTACTGCCTTTCTGGCTTTCGGTTTCGGCCTCTATTTCCTTTTCTATTTTAGCCTTGAGCCCCTGAAGGAAATTCAAAAAGCTTATTTGATTCTCATACACATTGACTTGTTCATCTGTCAGACTCTTACAACCCAGGGACTTCGAAATTTTCTTTTGGTCGTCAGGGAAGCCGCTGATTTTCTCCACCTTGGTTTTCAGCGTTTCAACTGCCAGTTCGCGCTGCCGTTCATTGAGTAAAATTTTCTCTTTTATTTTTTCAAAGTCGGCAAGAATTGTCTTAACGATGTTCCCATATCGCAAACTGGTACGAATTGGGATCTGGCACCTCGGACAGCGTTTGAGTTGGACATTAGCGGGCTTTCCATCCTGCCCTACATCGGTTTGGTCCATCCACCGATCCATATTTTTCACTTCAAAGATGTGACCACACTCTGCCAGTTCCACGAATCGTGCGTCTGGCTCGTCTTCATCGCCGAAAAAGATCTCTGTGACTTCGGCTTTGTGACACTCTCGGCACTTTTTTGGACATGGTTCTCCACAGAGACCAATACAGGGATGTCTGCATGGAAGGAGCCTTCTACATGGTTTGTTGCAACGAGGGCGATCACAAAGTTCGCCACATGATTTTGTGCACTTGTAATGCCTGCACCCCCAGTCACACTTCTCAGTACATCTATCGCAAGGTTCACCACATTTCTTTGTACACTTGCTGTGTTTACAGCTGTTAGCGCACTGTTTCTCGCATGGCGGACAGTTCCTGGTGCAGGGTTCAGAGCAGCTATGTCCACAAAACTGTGTGCGTCCACACTCTGCCTTACAAGGCCGGTGAACTCGACCGCGTAAACAATCACTGCAGCTACCTGCAAAACATGTAAAAAATTGGGTAAGTCCGATAGACCAAACCGTTCCCTCTGATATTTTGAGGGAAAGAACAAGTGAAAATTATAAACCGAGATTATAGACCAAACATCAATTTGTCCAGTGTAGAAATTGTTCAGAAGTTCAAAAGAAATTTCCATCTTTTCAATGCATTTCTTAATTTGCTGCATTGCTTCAATCTCGGCACCAGTCTTCCACTTAACTCTCATTTTTAGCTTCAGTCAGTTAATAACCTCTTCTAGAAAGGAAATATGATGAGACAAATGAAACCCTATTGCATAAAACTGAAACGATCCAGTGCATAATTCTTTCGTCGTATACTTCATTACAACTTGTTTTATTTTTTTTGGTTCATCTCCTGCAATGGCTGAGATAACGTAAAGCAAGAGGACACAAGATCTATTTTAGAGCCCCTCGATGCTATTTTCTGTAGGCACAGCTCTCTTCATCTACAAGAATTAGACTGAAAGAAACTGGTTCTTACCGCGACAGGGGTGTTCGCAGTTTAGGATCACACCACAAGGTGCCTTACATGGACTGTACAATGGATTTACATGGCATTCAGTGAGATTTTCGTGTCCACACGCCCAGATTTTCTTTGTGATAGCGGCACACTTCACGGTACAATTTTCAGAGCACTTATTCGCGCACTTATGGCCACAGCGGGGTAGAATCTTTGAACAAGGTGACTGGCACAGTGCTTCAGAAGGATCTTTGGAGCAAGGTATTTTCTGGGCGTGACCACAGGGGAGAAGTTTGGAGACAGGTTCCATGCACGGCCCACACTCTTGAAAGCATCTCCTGCGACACTTGTGATTCCGACGACAGAGAGTCTTGGCGCATGGCTTTTTACACTGGTACTCCTTGTGCTCTGGGTCTGTTGGATGACACACCATCTCGCACACGTGACCACATTCGAGTCTTGCCGAGCATGGAACAGTGCAGCCTCCCTCTGGTGCCTTCTTGAAGTCCTCGGCGCAGGATGCATGTATCACGTTTTGGGGGTGGTTCTGGCACGTGAGTAGCAATGCATCTCCCACACTGTCGCGCTGACGCATGTCGTTAACTATCCTGTTCCATAATAAACTCTTTGTTTCCAAAAGACTGATGTTACCAATGCAGAAAAACCCTTTCTTTGCCCGAGAGAGCGCCACACAAACTCTGTTTTCTGTCTGCAGGAAACCGATTTTACCTTCTTCGTTACTTCGAACGAGAGAGAGCAGAATGATGTCGTTTTCTTCTCCTTGGAAGTTATCCACTGCGCAAACTCGAACTCCACGGAAAAAATCTTTGGGCATTTCTTTTTTGAGCTGTATTAACTGTCCAGTGTAGGCTGTAAGGACTGTGATCTGCTCTCTTTGGTAGCCTTGAAGAATAAAATAGCGACAAAGGGCAGCAATGAATTTGGCTTCGTGTTCATTTGATCTGCTCCTTCCCTCCTCCAAGAAATCCTGCGGAAAAGGAAAAGGATAGGCGAATGTTAAAGAAAAATGAAAAATCAGTATATCAAACTCCCCCTCCAGCGCTTAATGAACTTTATTCTCCAGAAATAACACGGTGCGATGGACCTACGACATGACTCCGGCCTCAGATGAGATATATCCCATCAAATTCATTACAGGGTTTAAATCCTGCGAACCTATGACTTAATTTTTCTGATGAGGCTTAAACAAAGTATTAACTTTTTCCCATTTAACTTGCTTCCATTTAAATATTCGTAATAGCGCTGCAACTCCTCTCGATATTTTGAAAAAATTGTTTTCAACATACTTTTTATTCTTTTTCCCATGCGCCTTTTCTTTATAAGCGTAACTATTATCCTACCACACCCAACACAGAAAATCGCTCACTTACCTCACTCTGAGCGTGGTCAACAAAAAACATGTTACGAGCCACTCCCTTGATGTTCTCAAAATTCATCACGGATTCGTGATTCTCCAGTTTTGGATTGTAGTAAATATGCTCCAGCATTTTAGAAATCTCAGGTCTCATCCGATGTTGTAATCGCAACCGTTCATAGGGCATTCCATTCCTCACCATTCTCTCAAAGAGTGACACTTCCAAATTGTAATCCTTGGCGAGTTCGTAAACTGTAGGATTGGGTCGGAGCTGCTGATGATCACCAATCAGAATCAAGTGTTGGCATCCGGGAGTTAGTGATGTAACAATGTGTGACTCCAGTACTTCAGCGGCTTCCTCCACAATCGTTATGCGTGGACGCAATCTTTGCAAAAGTTTGCGAAACTTTGCAGCACCTGAAATACATGATCACACCCTCTATACATGTGTACATGATATTCACAAAAAAATGAATTCATCTTAACGTCATCTTAGCCTCCTGGTAACTTTTGAAAACTGTTGCAAGTAAACTAAGGCTTACTCAAAAAGTGCTGGAAACTCCTAGTTGAGGAAGTATAATCAGATTTCCTTGACACAGCCAATGTTGGTTAATACTTAGGAAATGGAAATGCAATAACTTCAGTAGATAGCTTTAAACCAATGAGGTTCCATTCGTCACTTGTTACCCTATTCGTGATATGACTTATTACATAAACACCTTTTGTGAATGGCAATAATAAGAGTAAAAATCCGCTTCATAGATGCTCAGGTTACCTTCACTGATTCAAAATGGTTGATGTAACTTTGGAAATAAGTCAATGTCCTTGGAAAATTACTAGTATTGAATAATTTTGATGTTTTTTTCTTTCTTTTCTGGCATTTCCAGTTTTTTTATATAATTCTTTTAAGCTAGTTACAAAATGCTTAGTACCAAAACCACAGAAAACCACAGACATCAAGTATTGGACAAAGTCGTTAGCTTCTATCTGAAATTGTTACACAGCTTCTTAAGCACAACTGTGTTTTACTGGATAAATTACTGACAAATGACACACAACTTGCCTGTAGTTGTCATGCCCACGACATCAGCGTTCTTGAGTATCTCAAAATCTTCCATATTTCTTACATCCTTCAGTCGCTTGGCTCCTTCCTCAAATTTCTCTTGAAACATCGAGATAGTTCGAATGTACTCCTCCGCCAGATCCATCAGCCATCGGCGATACAGGCGCCAGCGATCTTTGAGGCTCAAACTCCAGACATTTCGAACCTGGTTTAATCAACAACAGATATGTTTTTCGATTCAGCCATGTAATTTCTGTATACCACCAACTGCATTCAAAGTTCTCATCGATTAAGTTAAGTAACAAAATAAGAGCGGGCCAAAGTTGATGTTGCAATTCACCCTCAACTGGCTATAAGAATTTGAAGCTTGACGAAATCAATTGAGTGTCGAAGTACCTCGGTATTTAATCGGTTTTGCTTTTCTTTACTCCGTGATTGGTCCAGAAAGTTGCGCTACTCTCTCAACCAAACTGATACACAACTAACGCCAATCGCGACTTGATCGCCCCTGTTTTCCCTTGCTTTAGGAGGTTTCCTGTTTTTTAAATTAAGTTTTTTCGTTGGCTGTTCCGGGTATTCTTATTTCTCTGATTTACCGTTGTAACTACTTTGGTTTTGGTTTTACGACACTTAATCGGAAAGCGCTCTTATTTTGACCACGTCTTTTCTTGGCCTCCGATGAATTTTAACTCATACTGATGGAGAAAGCAAATGCTCACCGCTCTCGCTCTGTCAGGTTGCAAGACATCTTTCTTGCTCAGTTCGATTAACATAGTCCTCTTTAATTTCTTTTTAAGTTTGTCAGGTTTCTGAATTTGCCATCCACCTTCAGCTCCTTTGCCGAAAGCAAAAGGGTCCACAACTTTCAAACTTCCACTTCCCGGCATCACTTTAGAACCGTACACTCTGACGTCATCAGTGTCTAAGACCCTCTGCTCTTGCATGACATCTGCTTCATACAACACATCTGGGTTATCATTTTCCTCTTCTTCCTCCTCTTCTTCCTCTGCTTCTGCTCCTGCTCCTGCTCCCACTTAAAGTGGAACAAAAAGGAAAATATACCATTGTTCTTACAAAAGTGTTTAACGTTACTTTGCAAAAGTTGGCGTTCCGCCACCAAGCTACGCAACTACAAGCAATTCTGAAAGTGAAGAACATGCCAACTTTTCTAGGTATTTATCGATACACTTGTAAATGAGAGATATGGTGGTCTGCTGTTTTCGGGCCAGACAGAGGATCGAGGGGCCGGGTATGGCCTTGGAAAGGTCACTATGATGTGTTCTTCGGCAAAATAATTGACTCTCCCTGTCCAGTGGTAAAGAAGATCACAAGCGATAGAACAGCATCCCATTCAAGAAGAGTAAGGGTAGTCTTGACCTCTATCTAAGGAACCGGAATACGCCTCGGCATAAAAGGCTATTTTGCCCCTGTCGGAAGGTTTGAAGTTTTATCTCCTAGCTCTGATGAACTCAAAACAAATCCTACTTACCTTGTGCGACAATTCCACCAATAGCCATAATACTTTCCTTTCCGAGGGATTCTGCAAATATGCGAACATCTGCGACTCTTCCTCTAAAGCATCGTGCATGTCCAGAGTTTTCTAAGGCTCCAATCCTGATAGAATACTGAGTTGCAAGTTCCTGTTTCCTGCCAAGATACTTAGCTTCCACTTCATTCCCATCATGCCATAAGTGTGCGATGCCGGTCTCATAATCATAAGATGCTCCAATGAAGTTCCATGAATTCATATTCAACACAGCTTTCGCAAGAGGGGGTGGATGAGTTATATCTCTCCGCACAAACCGTGCCGTTAGGATTCCTCTCCCATCCATTACGCCTTCTTGACAAATTTGCAGTCCAAGGCCATGCTCGTGAAAGCTCAAGATTGATCCTCTATTTGCGGTTGGGAACACGTGTAACAGTAGCGTGATTGATGTTCTGGTGTCTAGGTCACTTCCGGGATGGTTTGGAATCATAACAAATGAGTTAGGTGCTCCTGAGAGTTGCAAGGAACCAGTCTCATCTGGGGACCACGTGATGTTAGAAAGGATGGCTAAATTAGCTCGAGAAACTAGTTCCAGTCCAGCGCTTCGCTTGTTGAGCGGGAGCACAGCAACGGGCTGTGCTGCTAGGGAAAGAAAAAATGGAACATATGTTAAAAGCATTCTGAATTTCACTGCATCTTTAAAGCTGGTTTTGGCATCTTTCTCTTTAAAATTAACAACTAATATTAATATTCTTTCGATGCTGTCTCATATTTCATACTACTATAAGGCCAGTAAAATTCACTCCCTGAATCTATTGATGAATCCATTACAATAGTGATTACATAGAGGATTATACGATAAAAGTGATACAGCTTTTTCTAAATGTGGCTAAGTACAGAAAGTGAAACGGGAGGTACTCTTTCTACAGATGCAAACTTGGAACTCTTGTCAGTGACACATTATAGACAGCAGAGAATCACTCATGTGACGAAGTTTGAACATTTTCTTCAGTGCTACTGCTAAATATACTTCAAATACCCACATTGATAACTTAATTAGGTTATCCATCAACCTCCTTAAGGATGCCAGCACACATTCTGGTAATTCAAACAAGTGCGACAATTTATTGTGGAGGGAAAATGACTAAAAATGTCGTTACCTCCTTGTCCAGGATCTGACGTGTTAATAGAAAGCTGTAGCCAGTACAACATGGCGCTTTCCTTTTGTCCGCTTCTACCAGCAAAAACTTGCCTCAAAGAATCGTAATGAGCAAGGGTCATGCTGGGGACGCGTCGATGCAGGGCGTCTTCGTGGAGCACGTTTTCATAGCATTTCTTCAGATCTTCAGCGGCCCCTTGCAGCTTTGTCGTGGTGTGATCCATTTCTTGATGAGCATCATAGTAAGCCCTTCTGATGTGCAAGGGAACTTTCTTATCCTTCCAAGCACACAATTAGCAGAAAAATTCAGAACGTTAGTGGTTCCGTTTCATTCTAAAGCAGTAAGGAACTACATTGCATTCAGCAAGTGTCAAGTGAAGTTCTCGAAATTTCCACAGAAATCGTCACCAATTCTGATGATGTATCTCAAGTGACGTTTGAAACCAGACCCAGAATAATCACAACGACCAAACAGAAAAAAAAGTTAACATGAGAGAATGACAATTCAAAGCAAAAACAAGCAGACCACCAAAAGCGCAAGGTGTCCAAGTTCGGATTGGTTTTAGTTTTGCCTCTGATTGCTTTAAAGGATGGTATTAGTTTTCTAAACCAATCATAGAGCAAGGTTAAGCAAAACCAAATCAAACTCAGTTTACTGTCGTTTCTCAATTGAAAATCGCCCTATCATGAGGGGGAGACATTTACGATTTCTTAACACTGCTGTTGAAGCTGTTGAATTAACAAATCAGCAGAATCTACACACTACAGCCCTATGTTTCACAAAACTGACGAGGGCAAGAAAAACAATCACAAGATTCTGCAATGCATTGGGTCTTCACCTTGTGATTGCGGTGTTTCAATTCAGACAGACTGCACGCCTTCATAATCTCACTCTGACTTCGATTTCCAATCCGCACAATCCCCTCGGAATGAAACTTGTGGATACCTTCTAGAAACTGGTCAAGGGCATGGTTCGTGTAACAGACAATAAGAATTGGGCGACGTTCAGACACCAGCGGGGCAACTTCACGTTCGTCATCAAGAAATTCAGTACCAGTGTCCCACTTCAATTTGTTGTGTAACAAAACATTAGCGATCTACGATAAATGAAAAATAAAATTTTTGATCACTCTCTTCAGAGTTCGACATTATCAGGGTCGACCAAACAGACACTTACAACCTCAACCAAATATGGATTACTCGACTTTTTACCCGGGCTAAGAATTTTCTATGAGTCCTCATTGGTTAAAGGTACGGTTTGAAACTAATATAGTTTTAATTGATTGATTGTATTACGACCTAAAGAGTAGGGTCACCAGTTAGAGTTTTTGTGCTTTAGTTGTTGTTTTTTTGTTGATTTTCTTTTGGCATGTTCAAGTTACCCTCGTCCTTGTAAATCACACACAAGAGCAGTTGCATGACAGCAAAAAAGGAACGAGGACTTGATAAATGTTCATAAGTATATTCTACCTTCAGCCCAATGTATGTCTTTCCAGTTCCCGGTGGTCCTTGAATAACCGCGAATTCTTTGGTCAGCGCCATCTGTAAAGCCCTGTACTGAGAATCATCTAGTTCAAGATCTTCCGCGGATGGCCAGGAAGCAAGGTGCAGAAGTGGAACGTTAGTTCCTACGATAAAAAATAAAGGTAGTGGAGATAAATTGTGTTTGTTTACCAATGTCAGAGAAACCGTGTTATCTGAATTTTGAATGCAGAGGACGGCATAAAACTGATCAAACCTTTTTGTTTGTGCATCAGTACAAAACAGAACACTTACCCCTACGCACGTCATCCCTGACGCTCAAGCCCGCAAGTCGTGTCCTCAGCTCTCTTAATGAGCTCGTGCTGTAAACAAATCAGATAATCGGTACAGTTTAATTTTTGAAGGAGGGGTCAAATAGCAATTGTGCCAAATACTTTGCTAAAAGTCAGAGTCTTGCCCTCTACAACGATGTTAAACAATTAACAAGCTTTATCATTATAGGTGACTGCCTTCGCAATTGGCTGTCAAGACTACTAATGCCCATTTAAAAGATCTTTTACGACAAGTTTTAACCATCAACAATCGATCAAGATGGATGGAAATACCAGACGCACGCATTTCTCATACGGTCTTTAATATGGTCTGTGGACCCTCTCAATAAATGGCATTATCCACACTGACATGCATTTCTCCCCTGAAACTTACTATCTCCCCTTCACACCCACCACCAGTCCCAATTCAGTCCATTCGTTGGACCTCCTAAACAATGTAACCAACTTATTTTCCAATCTAAAATAGCACCTTCCATTGCTGCTACTCGTGTTTCCTTTCCTCATAATCGGCGTCAGATCAAATGTCACTCGTCCTCTCAACCTGTTCCTCAGGTAAGCCGGTGCTTCAACATGTTTCTGACAACTAACGATGTATCTCTGGGTTAAAGCAAAGGAAAGAGCCAGTTTTATTGGCGCCTTTACGAAAAGTACAACGAAGAATTGAGATTGTGAAGCAGCACGTTTCTATTCAATTCATTAAAAGCATTTTTCAGCATAGAGCTGTGATGACATGGCTTAAGTACGAGAGGGATAGTCGGTGAAGGCAGCAACATCACAGGACTTGGGTCAGATCGCGAATGGTTTATAGAATGGTGGTGCTTAACCAATTAAAAGTTACTACGACACTTTTTTAAACTCTACTGCAGCTATTTATGCACATTATCTGACTTGATGAAGCATTTATAGGCTAGCCGAGTGTTTAAACTGAAATGGAAATCTCCCGATAAAAAGTTGTATTATTTAGCTTTATGTGAATCCCAAATATTCTTAGAGTCTTTGATGAACGACAGAAGACAAGAATTCCCAAAGGATGAGAAAAATATTTTGAAAAACTAGAGAACGATTTATGAAAATTTCGATTTATGACAGTCCTTCTTATCATTCAAACATTTTTTCTTTCCTCATCGTGTTTGACTTACAAATCCTGAACGACAGCGTAAGAAACCACCGTTAAAACGAAAAAGAAAAAAAAAAAAAAAGAAAAAAAGAAAACAACGACACAAAAATAAAACGAAAATACTCTGAAAAAGATATTTCTCGGTTGATCATACGTTACCTGTAAGGGAAGTTTGTGTGGCTCAACTTCTTTCAACCCCTCAAGGATGTGACGATACGCTTCAAAGTAAACGGTGCTCTCTACCATTTGATACACTTCACCCCCTTCAATTCTCACATTATCAGATAGTTTGATGAATTGAATGTCCACTAACCCCTACAGAAAAAAAAAAAGCAGTTACCACTGGATGACAGTTTAAAGAGTTTTGAGAGACTTCGATGGGAGAACCAGTCGGATTTGATATACTACGATAGGTAATGATGAGGGAAGCATAATGAGCCGTACAGTTACCTGTTTTAAATCTTTGACATCGCGATTGGCCACAGTTGCAAACACAAAACTGCCAAACTTATCTTTAGAAAGACACATCAGTGAGCCAAAGATAAGCCGCTTGCTGTTTTCCCAACGTACATTCCTCAAATTCATGTTGTCAAACTTTACTTTGTACTGGAGTCCGTTGGACGTACACAAGGGGTACAGCAACCGGACGTCTTTATACACCCGTATGTCCTGTAGTGCACCAATCTTAGCGGAGCCAATACGTTCTAATAACTTGGCAATCCCTTCACGAAGGGGCCTCACGAAATCTTCGCGGAGGAGCCGAAACTGCACGTCTAAATAATGTTCTGCATTATGATAGCTCCCGTCAACTTTGTTCCTTCTGAGGAAGGGTCTTTCTCCGGTCAAAATGTCTTCCTGAGTCGGAATAACACTGAGATCTCGGAAATCATTGGGGGGGTTTAATTCATCATTCTCACCGGCTGACAATTTAAAAAAATCAGTTACAATCAGCATAAGGAATATTTTTCTCTTAACCGAATAGGATTACGCATCTCTCACCATTTCGTTGTAATCTTCCTCTGCCTGGTCTCCTCTCGTCTTCTTTTCTTTTCAGTTCGGAAGCCTTCTCTGTTTTTAATTTCATTAGTTCACCCGCTTCCTTCATCAGGTTGGCGTCCTCCAACTTCCCTGTTTCGGACATTACCATTGCTCCACAATACAGATCGGCTATTGGTAAATCGGCGTATACATTTGGGAATCTTCGTAGCAGTTCATTCATTACTTTTGTCACATTTTTTAAATACTCAGCCACTTCAGAGGATGGCATCCTGCTTGTGGACAGCCTGTTGAGATGCTGTCTCAAGTGAAAGTTGAGAAACAACGATCCTGGCAGCAGGTTAAGCAGCTTAATAAGGTACTCCTTCGAGCTGCAATGGCACGCTGTGCTAAGAATGTTCACAATCAAGACAATAACGTCATCTGTCATAGGAGTCTGCTCTTTTAATAAAAATTCAGAAGCCGGGAAGCACCGACTTGATGTCATATCGAGGACAATTTCATCTGGAGTCTTGCTCTGTAAGTCTTTTAATGCTTTTAATCCAAGTCTTATCGTACCATGACTACCACACCCTCCTCTACCCCCTCCCCTTGCACCCCCTCTGCCGCCTCTCCAAGGACCCCCTCTACCACCTCGTGTTCCCCTGCCACCACCTCTTCTATAGCCGCGGAAAGCCACAAGGTCTTCCATGGAATGTATAGATTTCTTCAATCAGTCAAAGATATTCAGAACCTCTTGAAGCCAGCACTCTCTTTCCTTGACCATGTTTGGCTGAAAATCAATGGAACAGATAAGTATCTAGAATATTATTATGCTTCATGAATAAATTTCACTCTCTGATAAAACAATACAAACAGAAAAGGTAGATATAAAATTCTAGGAATAAATAATTCAGATTTCAAATGTGAAAAAAGACAAAAAAATTTAAGATTAAATAAATCGCCTCCACTTCATTTTATGAAATTACATAGCCAACAGTAATGAAGTCAGTGGATGACTTTTGAACATCCTTAGTAGTATGCATTGGTAAACACGAAGAAATCAACACCGAGCAGCACAACGCGCCTCATGGTTTCAGTCGTACAAGTTACAAACATCTCAGTTGATGCTATATCCATGTGTTATACTAGTCAGTGTCTGAAATACCTTAAGGCTATGAAATAATAAGGAGAGGAAAAACGGCGAGAAATGTGAATGATCCAGGGTAGATTTAAATAGGCGATATGGAGGGACAACCGAGCGATGAATTATACCATATTCACAGAAAATACTTCAGAGATTGTTCAAAGTCTGTTTTAGAGAGGGAAAGTCCTTTGACTTTGACAATGACTGACGAAAATAGACAGGAAGATGGTTAACACAACCAGATACGACGTGAAGTTGATATCGCTGACTACACCGCTTGCCATCATAGTCTTTGGAACACTCAAAATGGCTGCATAACCGCGATCGAAGTTTTCAAACGTCTTGAGAAACTTGTTTTTATGTTGATTATCTTGAAGTGCCGTTGAGCTTGAGAAATTCCTAATTTAGGTTGGAATTTCGAAATTATTTTCTTGAATTTGACGATTTTTGACGAGTTTTGCGATTTTCCTTGAAGTGCGAGGTCGGATGCGGTTTGAGCCAATCGTGCGAAATTGTATCATCGCGTGACATTAGACTCATCAGAAACATTCAACAGCATAACAATTGGTGATTGAAGTGAAAAAAGGAAAACGAATCTGCAAAGTTATATGTCTCAATGTTGTGTGGAGCCAGAAACCTGCAGCTATCGATCCGTCTCTGGTATACGAACATTATCGCGACAAATCGTTCACACCGGAAAACGAAACATTATGTAGACGAGTTACCATGAATTTCATTTATGAGAAGCCGGTTCAGCTAAGTTTATCAAGCGAACGAATGCGTAACTTCAAGCGAAAACAAAAGCGAAGCTATTCGGCGTGCATACAGGCTTTATGCCAAATTTAGCATCCTTCTTCAAGGATATCTGCCTCCTGCTTTGCATTTCCGCATTTGCTTCCGAGCAGCGTACAGGAACGTTCCGAAGAACTTGAAAGCAAAAAAATCCCTTTCAGGTCACCGTAGAATCTCAATCTCGTTCACAAAACCACCGAAAATATCTCGATAATTTCAACCGCACAAATAATGCTTCTTCAGCTTTTCTTCTTGCTTCCGTGAAAGCAATCGCTCTTATGACGGCCATGTCCGTTTCTTCATAGGGGATAAATAAATAGAACTAGCCGGTTCACCGCAACGACCTTCATTCCTGAATCATCACACAAAACCGTTTTTTCTTTGTCTCGTATGCTCGCCGAATCGAATCAAAGACAGATAAGCGTTTACAATGTGATCCTCGTTAATCGAGTTCGATAAACATTACCTTACGTTCCTTACTGATACCAGTTTCAAACAAGGGCCTGGAGCTCCCAATCAGATTTTAAAACCGTAGTTGTTTCAAATTCATATCGATGTAAATAACACGAAGATCGTAAACCTCTGAAATGAAATTGCTTTGATCGAAGCACAGCGAATTTTCCGGGAATCTACCAGTTTGGTTGCATTCATATATCGACCAAGATCCAATGAAATGAAAGCTTCATTTCTACGAAACCGAAAGAATGTTTCCGGGAAAAAGGGATTTTCCCTTGCATGCATAATTGGCTGAGAGCTTCCGCTATGCATCAAAACATGACTGCACCTTCTATTATGAGACCCCAACGTAAACACCTTTTTTATTGCAATCGAAGTTTGAAAAGCGAGCTAGATAAAGAAGAATATGGGAAAATGAAGATTTTAAAGCTTATTTCCGCGTCGTGAGTGACTTTATCGATTCCTATCACGCCACCCATTGTCTCATAGTTAATGGATTGTATAAAAGGATAACGTAGTTTACGTATTCTAAGAAAGCCTGAATAATTTCGGGGAAAATTTTCAAACATTTTTTCATAGAAAAAAAACGATCTTTATCAACGCAAAGTAATAAATAATATGAGACATCTTTTTTATTAAAAAAACCTTTGAGATTGAATGGACAAGTTCGTTACCATTTATTAACGAACCACTAACCATTAAAGCTCATACACAAGGTCTTGCAGAATTTTACTTGTCTCGGTGCTCTCGAGAAAATACGTTATCATGACAAGAAAAAACATGTCCCATTTTTCAACCAGCATTGAAACCAGTAGAGGCATGAAAAGGTCGACAAGAAGTTGAAAAATGAATTACTTATAACCACATAACACAGTTTCTTTATCTTTCAACATAAACATGCAGGGCGACGTCAACATGGCAGCCAAGTCCATTCCTCGATGCCAATAAGAGGCACTAGAATTCAAGAATTTTTAATCAAGCGTAACAGAAAGATCAAGAACTAAACTCCTTTTCACGCATGGTGATTATTATAAATGAATTGCTGATGATGTGTCTTCTATAGATATGAGCTCGCATAGTTTTATATTTGATACAAGTAAATGTTAAGGAATCTATGCTACTAATTGAATCGGAAATTTTTTTCTCCCAGCATATCAACACCTGGATAAAACGACAGAACTCTGAAACACATTTAGGAGGGATTCACCTCCAATCGCTGAGTTTGCTTCAGTTTCAGATATGTGATAAATTTCTCAACAAAATATTGATCTTCCAACTAAGTGGAACTCATGTTGAAATGAATGGAACTCATGTCCAATGTTGAAGAGGAGCAAAAAGGATGTACACATTGTTGCTATGAAGCATTGCTGAGCATAGTGTGTGAATTTCTATCAGTTCAATCATCTGTATTCAAAACTGACAAGTTTGGTAAGCCATCCCTGGTAACATTTTGTTGCGATGCATCAGTCATTGAGTTTGCCTCTTGTGAGGTTGGCTGAGTGCTTCCCTGCATTGAAGAAACATTCCTTTGCTGTTTGGGTTGTCTTGCACCAAATATGGTACTACCAACTCTCACATTTGTACTTCCCATCAAAATCTGACAAATTAAAGAGAAAATTTGCATAATCAGCATAAAAAAAAACAGTTTAATTTCAACCTTTAACCCCTAAGAGGGACTAGCATCTAATTTCTCCTTACAATATCACCCCTGAATCACACATTAATGTCAAGAGAATAAAAGAAATGATCAACAACTAAAGAAGCTCCTGATTGTTTAACAAATTCTCCTGGTCAGCACCTTTAGAAATGTATAGAGAACAGTATGGAGAAAACATACCGATTTTAAGGTATAACGGGTTAACCTAAAAGTGACAGCAAAATAAACATCTTACTTTAGATGAGACAGAATAAGTCTGAACTTACCGCTTTCTCAAAATCATTTGACATTCCCATACTCAATTCGACATCCTCAAGGCTAAGACTTAGTTTCTCACAAATATTCTTACGACAATCAACCAAACTCTGAAAAGAAATCAATAAACTGAAGTTAAAAAGTCACATTGGACATGAAGCAAACTGGAGCATGCAGTGTAACTCTGTTTAGTTATTCTAGTATTCAGTGATAATATTATTTATTCATCCTTTTTAATTTCAATCCCCAGGACAATGTTGAACACGTCATTAACATTGCTTCATTTTGATGAACTGGCATCATTCCTAACATAAGCTTGAACAGTCACACTTTTGATCCAAGAACTTGTTTAGTACAGCCAGCTTACTCATTAAACAAGCATACTAGGGTTGCAAGGTGATGTTACAAGCAGTTATATTTCAACATTTCATGGTGAAAAAGGCTACTCAGCCAAATACTGGTGGAACTTTCCAAAGATTGATGTGCTGCATGTTGTTACAAAATTCTGCATTACTGGGGCTGACTCAATTTCTGCATAGACTATACATTTTAAGCCATTTACCTTTTGGCTCCTAAGGGTGACTAGCTACTAATTTCTCCTTACAATATCACCCCTAAATCAAACAGTAAGGTCAGGAGAATAAAGGAAATGATCACCCGCTAGAGTAACTCCTGATTATTACACAAACTCTCCTTGTGTGCACCTCAGAAATTGTATTAGGAAACAGAATGGAGAGTATATAAACTGATGTCAAGTTGTAAAAGGGTTTGAACACCCTTGTATTGCACATTTCAGTAACCTGAGAGTGAAAATGAAAAATGAAAGAAAGACATTTTCTCAATCTGCTTACAATGAAATCAGGATTTGGACCTTGACTCCAGTCATGATTCATTTCCCCAATGGTCATCAGTCCTGAAAACTTTAAGTGTGGACAGTGGGTGATAATGTGTTCCACAAGCTCTGCACAATGATCACTTAAGCATCCACTCTTACCTAGTAAAAAGAAGTTAACATACAGGTAAGATTCAAGAAAACTCAGTGTCCTTTTCTGTAAACTAAGTCTTGTTGAATACTGTGTTGATGGAGATAAATATCATTATCATATCTAACATTTCACTAAATGACCCACTAAATTCAGAGTTTGTTTGCATTTAAATCTCCTTCTTCAACTTGTACCCAAATATATAGTACATATCTACAAGATATACTTTGGGTTATGGAACCGGGTTTCTGTTGTTTGCATTTATGGCCCTTTTGCCTCATGCTTGGGGCATAAATCTGAGAGGAAAAGTTTAGTAACCAATCATAACTTACAGTTTGGATCTTAAATTTTGTTAGTACAAGTTAATTATTTCTCTGTACCCTACAAGTCAAAAGAAAAGAACCAAACATGCCCACCTGTCCAACATAAACATGATCAGCATGCAGAAAGCAGAGCCCATTTCAATGAATAAGTTAGCTTATTGTCCAACGATAGTAGCTAGGTCACTGTCAGTTTTGTTGACAGATTAACATTGCTAGTAGGAAATACTAAGTTTTTACAAATATAAGAAGAAACATGAAACTACTCTTCATTATAAGCTGAGAAACAGTGGCACTAACTTTCTTCTTTGCTTGTATTAACTTGTACCATAACATTTAGAGAATTGGGCTTGTTTAATTTTCCCCAGGAGGCATTAAGAGAGTTGGCGAGCTTCACACTGTCCACAGTCTCCACCATGTAAAGGTTAGTCACTCCTGCATAAAGCAAACCGAAAATTTAAAATCAGAATTTTTTGTTTGAATTCAGTTCACTTAACCCTTTCAATCCTGTGACAAACAAATAGTTTCTCCATACAATACCAATACATTATATTACAATAACTTTAGTTTTGCACCTCTGTCAATACATTTTAAAGCTGACTAGTTATGAAAATAAAGAAATATATCAACTACGGGACATAGGTAAAATCTGCACTCGAGCCAAGTGACCCATGCCACCAGAGTTTATCCTGGTTTCCCTTGCATGAAGTGACAAGGAGTATTACCATTACCCCCTGGATGGGATGTCAGTCCATTGTAAGGTAACTCTCAAGTACTTCATCAGGCTTCCCCGACAATTCACTTGTACCCACTTATACTCCAGGTAATTCAAGGTTAAAGTGAAAATTTTATACATGAAAGCTTTAAAAGAAAATTCAATTTGAATTCTTTTGTCTATAATCTGATGATTGCTGAAAAGAAAGAGAAAATTTTCCTAAAAAGGCTTTTGAATAGAGAAATAAAGAAAACTGGATTAAAATTTAACCCTAGGTTAGCACTGATCAGCCTTTGAACAACTGGATCCTGGTCAGAGTGAGACACTGAGAGAGCAAAGTGTTCTGTCTAAAAACACAACACCATGACTTGGTGAAGTCATGAACCTGAACCTCTCCACTTGGAGTCCTGAGCAGACTAACCATTATGTTACTGCATCTCCCTCAAGATAAGAGTAAATAAGCAGTAATTAGAGCTAACAGCTATGCTTATGGCGAGTGTTTCCCAAGTGTTTCCCACAGCAACACCAATTAAAAATAACCAGAAAATTGTTCAACCCTTACCAACAAGGTTATTACATTTGTTACTCTGCAAATGACCAATAAAATGCCACCTTATGTCATTAAGTGGTTGAATCTGAAATACACATGAAAGGAAAAAAGGTCTACTTTGTGAAGTTGTTAAGGCCAGGGCTTGTCTATTATATAACAGATCAATGTAACTCTGTAAAGAATACATCAAAGCCAGTCTGGCTACATCTAAAACATTTTAGATCCCCTAAACATCATAGGACCAAGACTAGCATAATTGTCTTATGCCCAGAAAAGAATAGAGAATGTTGTGAATAACAGCCAGAAGTAAATAAACCATAATAAGCAGCCAGAACAAGTAACAGCCAGAANGAATTCGCATAGTATTGCAGCCTTGACGAGAAGAAGCCTTTTGCATGTGGAGAGGAAACAAGATGGTGGCCACAAGACCAAGGGCAATCGAACACATTATTTGACGAATCTTTTCCGGTGGCCGTCGAAATAGCCGTATAGAAGCTAGAATCATCATAGTAATACTGTATCAAAGTTCCATCTGAACTCCAGAGATGATAAAATGCTAAAACTATAAAAATGTTAGACAAGCTAAAAAGCACACGTTCAAGTGTCATGCTGTCACGCAACTAGTGACAAATAGTGTTATTTTTCCTACATACATATGAGTGAACCGCATAACTCCATATCCATGCTCTGTAAAATGCCACAGACCTCCAATATGGTTAGTCTGTTCAAAAACAATGATGACCACATCATATCTGTGTAGGTTTAAGCCATATCTCTGCAGGTTTAAGATCGCTTCGATGGCTAAATGCCAAACAAGGACTTATGGTCAATGATGCAGTTATGATGCACAAATGTCTCAAAGGACGGTCACCTTGTTATCTGTCAAATAAATTTTCAACTAGAGCTACTATTCATGATAGACAGATGAGATATAGAGACAGTTTAAATATTCCATCTAGTAGAATCAGTGCTGGCCAACGCGCCTTTTATTATCGTGGCATAAAAGTATGGAATAATTTAAGTAAAGATTTAAGGGGAATCATGGGTACTAAGGTCTTTAAGAGACGTTTAATTAATGAAATGATTTGTAACATGAACGATTTTTGATGATAACTGTTGTTTGCATATAGTAATTAATATATAAGTAATATGAAAGTATATATAGCTATTAAGTTATTTATTTAGTTTTACTATTTTTAATATTGATGCTGAAAAGCCCTTTTCAGGGATGCTCAATAAAGTGTATGTATGTATGTATGTAACTTTCTACGATCACCGTTCACAAGGTGATTACCCTAACCATAAATTAACCCTTATACAACCAAATCCACTCACGTAGTTTTCGCCAAAATGTCGTTGTCCATTGTCATAAGCCTCAATAACACAGTCTGCTGGCTTTAATTTGCTGACTGCAACCAGACGAGGAGCCGTTTTAGGAAGTTCCTGAGAAGAGAAAGTCACTTGAACTGAATTCTCTCGAATAGTTGTCTGACTTAACACTGAGCACAAAAGACGACCCTTACACTCGACCGCTTTGCTGTTGCTTCTTCTACTCGAGAAATTACACTCCGTAGAGAACCACCAACTCCTTCCATGGACAAAATTCCGAATCGCCTCATGCATGCGTCGAATTAGCCGATTTGGCCGCCATTGAATATTGAAGATCAGCTGGCAGTCACTTGCAGTCAGCGGGCTAGTTACCAAGGTATCTTAGAAACCGAAGAATTGATCTTCACTCAAAACAAACCATTTGACAGATGCTCGAAGTCAAACTCCTAACGTAACGCGGGCGGAATTTCAGAGATGTAAAGATAGCTTACTTTCAATTTGTATAAAGAGAGGACATGGCAAAAGGGCGATCATTCGCGCCGTCGAAAGATAAAGAAGGAAACTGGGTGAGTTGTGGGACAGAAGTGTTTTCTTTCAGATCGCTGTGCAAAATTGGATTGACATTAGACCACTAGGGGAGAGTCCTTAGAGACTTATTTGTTTAATACAGCTCAAGAATATTTAAGTAGATCGGATTAATTTGTCGAATTTACTCACGTAATAACTCAAGAACAGGTATGGGAGTCGCAAACTACTATCTGTCGATTTGTTTTGACTCACAAGAGTCAAAGAAACATGAAAACTTTGATAAAAACCTGGCCCTGTTAGGACAGCTGCTACTCTGTGTATGTCTGTTATGTATTGGCTGGTTTCACCAAATGTAAAAGTTAATATTTATAAATTGAAGTCAGTGAACGAAAGAAGGTTCGCCAGATAGACACACATCACTTTGAAGTCATCTTCTACCAAGGACTTGTTTGGGAATTAAATAAAGGCTCATTATATACACAAAAAATCACTTAGGCCTCAAATTATTTAAACAAAGAAAAGTGACAAGGTTTTGTTTTTATGGAAATTTGTGGGTTCTTCACCCGAGAAAATAAACATGATTCGTCGTCAAAATAACAGCTGAACAAATTTTCCAATTGCGCTTAAACTATGCAAAACTGTACTGGGTCTATCTGATTAGTCTAATTACACACTTTGCTAACGAAAGCCTTTTCGATAAGTACAGCGATAAGCTGTCGAAACCTCCGAAAGCCTGCAACATCGCGTAAGACGAGGCAAGTGCTTGCTTACGGAGTTGACAGAAAAATATTCAAGTGGAAGGGTGGGGTCTGAAGAACAATCGTAAGAGCATGGGGACTTTCTCCGCAAAAGGAAATCTTTATTATCAATTTCAGCCTAAAAGACACCCTTCTCTATTGTCCCCGAATTATTTTTTACTTTAATTCAAACTTAACTTACGTTGATGTTGAAATTGTTGTTTTTTGTTTCAGTTTTCTACACGGGGCTGGCCGAGGACGCTTGACGTCACAAAGCTGCAAGAAAAGAAAGTAGCATCCCCTCCTAAGAGATTTAACGACAAAAACGAGGTAGTATAAAGATATACCATTTCTTTTAATGAAAAATATCCAATGTGAACATTTTTTTGACCTCTCAATCAATGCCTGTGCTATAACCGAACAGTTTGTGTATGAAAATTGAGGAATGTTTAAGATGGTATCATGTAGGAGTGAACACGGTTTGATGATTTTTGTTTTTCTTTTGGTCCCGTTGTAATAGGCCCCGTTCAAAAGATTTGCTTTTTCAACACACGATAACAGACATGCATTTCAAGATCAAGGAGAATACTTTGGAAACGTAAGGCAGTCACACTTCGATTACATTGTTAGGAAGGTCACAATTAAACCGAGCAATTACTTTACTGTGAAATCATCCTTCATATTTTGTCACAAAAGAGGAGCCCGCAACTCCTGTGCGTGCATAAACAAGTTTATACGCACTCATCAAATGCGCACGCAGACAACGACACTTCCCTCGAGAATCGAGAGTAACAAGAGGTCGTGCTCCCTTCTTCCCTTGCGGGCGGGAAACGAGAACCGTCTGCAAGCAAGGGACGATGGAAGCAGACTTCTAATCACTTTGGAGGACAGTTACCATAAACGGGATACTTAGTACAAACTTGATACCTATGCGCGAAGCGATCGTTCATGGATGCAACCTGTGACCTGATAATTCCAGGCAATAGACGGGCTCAACTCCTTTGTATTATACGAAACGACTGAGGCCTTAAATCAAAATGGCTTAGCTATAGTATTTTAATTGCCGTGGGGTCGCCTAAAAAAACTGAAATCGCGCATTTTCGTATTTTGTTTGGTTAATCCGTTTCGTTGGTTGTTTTGTGCCTTAAACCTTCATTTTGTTCCAGGGACTTGGACGTCGGACATTTCCTGACAGATGTCAGCACTACTCTAACAATCTGATCGCATGGAAAACAAATAATGACCCACGCTCGTGCTATATGGCATCGCATCAAGGTCTCCCGGGAGATGATAACAGCCGGTATAGACGGTTTCCGCAAGTTCATCTTGAAGGAAAACCTGGTTCTGCTCCATCAGAAACCACAACTACTAAGTGGTTTAAACAACCAGACATTCCCTACAAAACGCCTCTACACGTATTGGCGATTACTCAAGAACCGTTTCTGTCTCCCAACAAATGGGCATATTCGTACAGACCGATATGGTATTAGGAGTAATTGATGATGCCTTTTCACGAAGACTCGTGTTTCGAACTAAGGCAGGATTGTGCCGTGTGATTTGCACGATTTCAAACTCAAGATGTGCTTTCTTTCAAGTTTTACTTGATAAATCATATTTAACTTTTGCGTTCAAACTTATTTAAAATGATTTTTTTGTAGAAAACTGCAAAGTTTTATTTCCCTCAGGCTCGTGCCCTTGAAATAAATTTAAGTCACTTATAGTAAAACTGATGTTCTATTCCACCTTTGGCACACTTGGATAAACCCAGAGCAAAAAACCCTGGGCCATCGCAAACCTGGTGGTTGACCCACAAGTTATATAGTTTGACATTCTGTCGCTAGAAGTAGTCGCTAACGGAATGCCGATTTAAGTCACAAAAAGGCTCCCCTTATCAGGCCACTTACACAAAACTGACCAATCCGATTACAGGAAACGAGCCCAAAGAAATTCCATATCGTTTTTCGTCTATCATTTTTTGCTTTGGACCTAAGAACTGATTGGCACAGATATTAGTTGGAATCGTTGTTTTTTGCTCGTAATGAGTAGAATTTGCCCATCGATTGGAGCAAATCTTTCCTCCAGCACTTCTCGTATAGAAAGCCGCGGTTAACTTGTAGTTGAAGCTACCACGGAGAAACCTTTGACAACACTACTTCACAATTTACATCAAGCAAAATCCCACAAGAACACTTAGAAAGGCTGTAGGAGTTTGATTTGATGTAAAGAGTAAAACGAACAGGTTATGGAAACAGGATTTTCTCTCTGACGATGGGCTAACGCTCGAAAAGCCAGCTTCAGAAACTTTTCACGATGGCTAACTTACATTATCACTGAACTCAATGGATAAAACCAAATTATCTATGCAACAATAAAGTATATAGGTAAAATCCCGATGAAGATTTAACGCCAAGAAAACGCCGTCTAAACACTAACCCACTTATTTGGTGAGAACGTCAATATGTTTTCAAAAGAGGGGTTTCTACAAAAATAAAGAAAAAAATTACAAATTGCGAGGGCCTAATTACGCAGCTAGTAGAAAAACTGAGAATTTCTAGAGGAAAGTTTAAAATTAATAGAGAAATGAATAATTAGTTCAGTTTTTAAAAGATTCAGTATACAAACGACTTCTGAAGCTTTGGCTGACTAACAATATTACCTAAATCATTTAGTAGCGTGGGTAAAGCTCCTATCGAGCTTTGACGTAGTGTTATGTCCAAGAAACAACCATCGACCAGTTAAATATTCAGGAAATGAAGATCTTGTTACTGGAGTGAATTGCTTCTAACTGTGATACTAACTCTGATAGCTTTTTAATTAATCGTTGGCGAAGAGACTTCAGCTCAATCCTTGAAAGAATACTCAGTGACATTTCTTTCGCGCTTTAGTCATCCATACTTTGCTATACAGATGTTTCCCCGGCGTTTCCGTTTGTCTCGCTTCTGCTGTTAGGGTTTCTTGTTGCAAGCACAGTCATCAAAAAAGTATTGTCCATACCGCTTTCCTTTACGAACAGTGCTTCTGTCTTTGTTATGTCCAAAAAAGCGTGGCAGGACGAGATACTCAGTGCCGCGCGATTGCAAGACACCCTTTATTCGCTCGTTCGACGTGAAATCCTGACAAAGTGAACTGTTGGTAATGATCTACATTTGCCCTTGCTGAAAAATGTTTCAGTGGCACTGTCATTTCAAGTGATAATACAATGAATGCAAGGAAATCTGTGTTTCTACATTTCGTGGGTTCAAATATTAGAGATCGTTCGATTTTAATTTCTTCGACTCTTTCAAGCACGCCAAAAAACATCTATAGACAAATACCCATACATAGACAATAAATATATAAATAAATATAAAATCTACGCAACAAAGGCTGCAAAATGTGTAAGAGCGTTACGAATGCACGAAAGGCTTTAATAAATAGAAATAGTTCTGGGTCTTCTAAATATCTCCTCTTGACGTTTCTTTTCGATTTACAATTATCCCGTAACAGTTAAATTCCATTTTCGAAATACTTAAAAAATAGTTCTCCGGTCTTGTTTGGAATACAGTGTTATACACAAAGAGAATAGCTGACTCACTACCTAAAGTTCATAAAAAGAGAAGAAGGTGAAAAAACGTGGAAATAAATTGGAGAGGATCAAACTCTACACTACTCCAGAAGACTGACTTGAGACGTTATTATTAGAGGAGTTCTCTTCAGCTGATCTTTGAATTCAGTCCAGCTTAAAGGGAAGAATTCTTCGTATCCCCAGCCAGACCCCTCTCTATCAAACACGTCCGCTTCGTTGATCACCCGTGTGGCCTTAGGAAAGTTTGAAGTCAGAGAGTATGCCAGTTTGACGAACCCTTTGCTACTGTGGCGGAAGTCACGTGTGCTTATTGTCAGATATAAGCCTTGACAACCGGAAGTCCTCAGTTTCAGCTCTAGGAACCTGAGAAAACAAATACATCTTAGCACACCTGTTGTATACGCACTCAGTAGAAAGGCATGCTTAGAAAAAGAAACGACTAGAAATAGTATTTGGAGAAAACGAGGTGGTAACTCAGAAAATCGTCCTTTCCAAACTGTTTACATTTTCTAAAACATTTTCTCTCCCACTCTAGAACATCCATCGACCAATTGTTGGTTCTTTTCTACCAATCAAATCATCATTTTCCCCAAAGGTAGGTAGACAACTTACATTTCGTATCCGCTGACCCAGAAATGCGGGGATTTAATGATCTTCTTTTTTTTCTCTACTTCAATATCTTCTCCGATGTCCACTGTCCAGTTAAACACGACAGGATCATCATGAGCTTTCCTAGCAATGGGTTCTCCCTCTTCGCATTGTCTCTCCTGATGGACAAAACGTTGAATATGTTTTTAAGATTGGACGCATTGCAGCCGGGTTAAGTAACATACGCTCGAAACGTCAGCTTTTGTAATCGTTACGGTGGCCAATTTACCATTTCAACTTTGTTGATATATCCAAATTATTTCGTTACTCCCACCGACGCAGCCCCAAACAGTTTCTTTCGAAACTGTCAGCCTTTAACATACAATGGGAGACGAAACGAGCACGTTAATCCAAAGACTAAAAAATTGGAATCTGAAGAAAGTAGTGTGAACAAATACTGACAAGCTATAAACCCCTTTGTTCCCTCAGAGTGAATAACATCGAGTTTCTCTTTACATCACCCCTGAATCATACATTAAGCTCACAAGAATTAAGAAAATGACCAATCATCTCAGGAAGCTACTGATTCTTAAACAAATTCTCCTTGTCAGCATCTAAGGAAATATAAGGAGAACAGTATGGAGAATATGCCTATTGATCTTAGGGTGTAAAGGATCAAGGAGAGCTACCCAAGTGCTTGCTAATAAGCAGTAATTAGTCCAACTTGTCAAGCGTCATAACTGATAGAGTCATAACAGAGGGGTACCCCTTCAGTATTTCTTATATCCACCACATTCATGAGTTTTCACTAGAAATAGTATAGTTAACAAATAGATTTTATGTTGCCGTGTGTAGCACACAAGGCACAGCCTAGTGTCTCACTGATGTTTTGACAACATTTAGATGTCTTTTGTAGTCTGTTACTGTACAGACCATCAACAATATGGAGTCTATTCGTTTTATATGATGAAAAAGTAGCATGGTGACATCATCTATGTGTCTGCCATCCAATAGGTCACAAGAACCAATCAAAGTGCATGTATAAGTCAGCTTATCACCAAACATACCTTAGAAAAGGCATGGTAAAAAACAGCCTCTTCAAACATCAGTTGAAACTTAGCTACTGTAGAAGCGATTGGGTGATCACTGGTAACAACGTCGTGTAGGTAATTGATGGTCATGGCTTTGAAGCGCACCAATTCCAACAGGGGCTCAAGCTGATCATCGAACACTTCATTCACCTCTGCCCATTTCATCAGTGCAAGGAACACAGTATTTTCTGAGGATACACACAACTCATTGCTGGAAAGAACTGAAAAATTCAATAAAAATTAAACAAAACTAGCCTGAGATCTTATCAAATTCACCACCACCACCCATCTGAAATGCTATTGTACATATTTCACACTGCATATGCTATTTTGATGCATTGGGAACCTTCTGACTTTATAATGAATGCCACAGTCACACCAAAGTAAAATTGTCAAATATAAAAATATCTAAAATAGCCATCCTGTTATGATGTTGTTGTTCTGACTCGCTTCATTCTTTATTCTTTTTGTCACTCATGCAAATCATTCATCGACAAAGCTGTCATGAATAACTCCCTGTAAAAAAGCACATGTGCTATTAGCATACCTTTCTGTAGACCATTAGGACTCAAAGACAGAAAGTCTTCACTCGACCATTGTGAGTCTAAAGGACTGAATTCCTCGACCAGGAATTCCTCACATCGTCTGATAAATTCTGCCATTTCAGGGAGTCTGAAAACAACAATGGAGAAGTTTCTTTGAATTGAATAAGCGGTTGTGCTACTAACTTGGATCATAAAGTAATTAAGATGTGGTTTGTTTAGTAAGGTAGTGTACAAATCAAATAATTCTGAAGTAGGCATGCAGAAGGGAAGAGGGACTGCTTACAGCCAAAACTTTCACCCAACCCAGATTTCTCTCATAAATGAATTCATCACACCCATTTTAAGTCACTGGTGATCCTTGTTATCTGATTGCAGGCCTGGCCAGGGAGGGTAGTGGGATACCAATATAAGTTTTCCCCACAAGATACCAATATACCTTACAATCGTAAAATGTGCGATACTTAATACCTAAAATTATTTTAAAACAGAATACTAAAATACCTAAAATTCAGGAAAAACTAAATACTTTATACCAGAATTTTGACCAAAAAAATACCAAAAAATACCATATACCTGAAATAATAAGGCCCAAGATACCGTATACCCAAAACCCCTGGCCGGGCCTGTGATTGGCTCTCTACAGAGCAATTTAATACCCAATTGCACTGTCCATCGTTTTACTATCAATCACATCTTTTCCCTACCCAATAATAACCCAACACTAATCAAAAGAACCAATCAACTTTTAAGGCTTGTCTAAAGTAACCAATTAAATTGCAGGGAAAAGAAAGACAAAGAAGCCATCCCGTGGCAAATTTTGCAACTTTTGTCCCTAAACTTTTCTTTCCCTTTTCTTTTTGTTCATCTATGAATTACCTTTCATGCTCTTGCATATTCAGAGATTTGTCACAGATCTCAACTGTCAATTCAGCTGAACCAAGAAGTCTAAGGAATAAGAACACAATGAAGAATTCTTTAACAATCCCTCAAGTATTTATTCTTACATGAAATCAAATAGTTTTTTTTTAAATGAGTGTTCTAAAACCAAAACCCACACTAATCACAACCTCCTGTTAGAGCAAAGGAAACTAAGAAGTCAATGGGAACTGAAAGTATAAACAAGTAAACAGCCTGAAGCCCATCTCTGTTGTCCTAATAGTAAAGACATCTGCTTCACTGCAGTGAAAAGATAACACAGTCTTATCAGCAGTTTGCTTGGTTAACCCTTTACACCCTAACATCAATATGCATATTCTCCATACTATTCTCTAAACAATTCCTGAGGAACTGATGTGGAGAATTCGTTTAACAATCAATAGGTTGTTTAGTTGTTGATCATTCCCTATATTCTTGGACCTTGATGTGTGATTTTGGGAAGATAATTTAAGGAGAAATTAGATGTTAGTTACTCTGAGGGGTTTATGAGTTAAAAGGAAGATTCAAATAAGAAATACATGTAAGCTGTAATCAACAATGAGAAATCCAACTATTAAAGACAAACAAAATCAACATCTTACTTCTGACAAGCCTTAAGTGTGCTCTCTGCATCATAAACATGAGCAAGTCTCATAAGAACAAGAAGATTTTCTACACTTTCTGTCATCACAACTTCAGGCTTATAGAGTGACTCTATCAACAGAAGGAACATCGATGACAAGGATTCACTGATGTTCATCTCAACCTGTTTCGATAAAAGTTAAAAATTAATTCAACCCACAGAAATATTTTCCAGACATAGTGTGACAATTAATTCGATTACTTGTTTTTAATTAATGCAGTTGATGTTTCTTAAAAACGTACATATGCAAAATAAGTATCTTCAAATTGTACATACAGAAAATGTTAAGTCCTAGGGCCCACTGGGGCCGGTTGAAATAACAAGAAATTGGCCAACAAGCATATATGTCAGGTCAGTTGGATCATACCTTTTTCACTTTTGTCTCTTTCATCCCTGAGCTGAAAAAAAGGCCTCTAAAGTAAGAACTATTCAACGCCAGCCAAAAGCTGTGTACATACAGCTGCTGTTCCCGGATGACAGTGTCAGTAAATGTCAAATCTTCTTCGCTAGTCTCTGCAGTTTCGGTGTTGGTCGATGGTGAAGGGGCAGATGCTGAAGCGCTTCCGTCGTCACTATCTAAAGCGGTTAAACCTATAGCTCCGATTTTTTGAGCATAGCTAATGTCTGCTATGAGCACATCTGATGATGTTGAAGAGACGACAGCGTCCCCATTCAAATTAGCAAAACCTTGCCAATTTCCAGAGTATTCATTCACTGGGTTATTTCCTTTCTCGCCACCAGCTGAGGACTCTTCTATTTTCTTACTCTTAACCGTTCTTTTTGTCTCAGAAAATGTAGCGTCGCTTATTCCGGAATCACAGCTTAAGCTGCTAACAGTTCTCAATTCTGAAGTGGAGTTAAAAGAGTCGTCACAAAGACGTGCAGATTCGGTGTCACATTTTGGTTCAGACGTGCCAATAATAGATTCTCTGTCTGTAGATAAATGCATCTTTTCTTTTTTATTAAAGTTAGTGACCGAAATCGAATCGTTTCCCTCTTGAGAATTCGTTTTCGTGATGATTCGAACCCGGTGTGCTGCTTCGAGCTTTTCCCAGCCATCTCTTCGAATCTTGACAACTAATATGCGGTCAGACATTTCTGGATTGTTGAAATGATCTCCGATTTTTTCGAAAAGCTTGTCCATGACTATAACATTTGCTTCTTCTGCCTAGGAAGAGAAAACAAACAATTCCTTCGACGCGAAAGCCCCACTGACGCCTGAAAATTGTGTTGTTAGAAATGATAAGCCGCTGACCAACCAATCTTGTTGGCAAACGGCCAGCAGTATCTCCCTGAGAGCATGAGCCGAAAGTTGAGCAAAAATTTGTCGAGTCAAGTGTCGAGTCAAGTAAGAAAGGAAAGTCATTGGGAGTTTGCCTGAACCAGAATGGTTTTGGAATCCACGGTTGTATGGTGAGATTCTTCGCCGGTTATTCATTCGATATGTTACTAATGGAATGATATATTAATACTTGGTTCGAATTATTTTGTATTTTTTACAGCGTCGATAACAGTGAGTGGATGAGAAATGGCGACTTTCTTCCCACGAGACTTCAAGCACAACAAGATGCTGTGAGTTTAGTTTGTCACTCGAAAACCAGACAAAACCCAGAAAATAATGTTGGTCTTATGACTCTAGCTAGGTGAGTATGTAACTCATACTGTTCACAAACAAATTAAATGTCCATTAAGTCATGTAACGATACTAATGTACAAACTTAAATTGCATATCCACATGAAAACGTAGATTTCATCAAATAAGGGGGGACAGTTTCAAACGAAACTGTGGTGCTGTGTCGGTGGTGGGTATTACAAGGTAATGTGGTTTTATCAACTACACTGATAGTGTAAATTGGCAACTATAAAGAAGCTGATGTTTCAATCGTTTGCCCTTTGTCAGAGTGAATAGAGGAATGGTGGGTTGTGTGTAGTTTATAAACAGAAAGATGGAGCTATTATATTGTGGGAACATGGTGAAATGAAAACACTTGTTATCATGTTCTCAACTAAAGCACACAGGCAAATGTTTAAAAGTATGGGTGACCACGTAATTGATTGTTTTAATTGTTACATATAGAGAGAGATATTTAGTGGATAAGGTTAAGAAATTGTAATGTTATAGGACATAGTGAAGGTAGCACCTCCCCAAGTTTTAGGTCTCTTTGTTTACCCAAACTTAGATATTTGTTGAAATGTTTTGGGCAAATTTACAGAGCGCAGTATGGAGCCACCAAATTGGCAGGTATCTTTGGTCCATCAACATAGTGGCTGAAAAAAAGTGTTACATCTGGAACTCACTTTGGCTATCTGGCTTGCTGATCATCTAAACTAAACCAACATGCATGTCCTAACACTTAATTTCCTAAAAAAGTTGAAAATCAACTGAGAAATCTATCTTTTTCAAAAAACGCAATAGAGTTATATGTCACACCACCACCATAGCTCTAAACTTCAAACTGTGCTTCTTTTTAAACCAAGCACACTATTGAGCTGAAAATTTGAAAACAGGTACAAAATTAGACCCTCTTATGCCTAATGAGGCTAGACATTTTTGTGGCTCTTTATTTTTGGATTTCAAATTTGAAGATGTCATGTGAAAATCAGCAATACAGGTTGGACTGTATGAAATAAACACGAACAATGGCAACCGACTCTTTAGGTATGCTCTCACTTCAAAATATTAAGAAGCCAAGGGGCTACTGAAAAAAAATGTAGATTTTATGCCCTGTATCTTAAAAAATATGTGAAAAACATTTCAGAGCCTCATAATTATGAGAAACCTTTCTGGAGGGAGCACATCCTAGCACACTTTTCCTTCCCTCTTATTTCTCAATTGATCCTGTTAGGATGGTTCACATTATAAGCCATCTTTGCAATGCACTTCGCTACTAACTCCTTAAATTAGAAGGACCTCTGTCCACTGTAACTAATCATTTATGCTGAGATGAAGCTCAATTAGTTTTCAAGAAAGAGGTCTTGAAGTCCTGAAGGTCTGATGATAAAAACATCACCTTTAAAATTTTAATTGAAATAGCTATGTCTTATTTTTCTCAGCCTTGAGGTTCTTGTTACATTAACAACAGATGTTGGAAAAATCTTGGCTTCCCTGCACAAAGTTCAGTCCAAAGGGGATATCAAATTCCTCACAGCTGTCAAAATAGCTCATGTAAGTATTACCAATAGGCAGGATATCTTGAGTAACTTTTCCATGTCTTAATTTTTTTTGATAAATCAGTGAGTTTTAATTACTGTATTTATTGATTTGAATGGCATGAGAATTGCTCATAAGTCTTGAATGACCTTTAAGTAGTTCAAGCTATACTTAAAATACTACTTTTCTGACTTCCTTCCCCATAAGTTGGTCCTAAAACATAGACAAGGCAAAAATCATAAAATGAGGATTGTTGTATTTGTTGGAAGTCCTGTTGAAAGTGATGAAAGAGAGGTAAGTGATCTACGTTGAGTACTTTGAAATGAGCAAACACTGTGCTAGAGATAATACTCACTTAGATTTCATTGCTGATGTAGTGACCTCTGAGAAAAACAAAAACATTTTGCCATTCTCACAATAATATCCATACATTAACCAGCAAACAAGTTATGAGAATACTCCAAATTATCAGGTAGAATATCTTGATGTAACACCAAATTCTCATAATTTATTTACAAGGAACTGTCTCGCAATCAGATCTTGGGAGTTAAAAGTTCAAGGTGTATAACTTACCATCCAAAAAGACCCTCGTTGTGTGATCTGATGCATTCTTGTTTTAATTTCTAAAATAGATGATACTTATTACATTTTTTTACTCAACTTTTTTCCATCTAGCTTGTGAAGCTTGCCAAGAAACTGAAAAAAGAAAAAGTGAATGTTGACATTGTCAACTTTGGTGAAGAGGTATTGTTGTTGTTGTTATTGCTGTTCTTATAATCCACCATAATGTTTAAGGCTCATTTGTTGCCAATCAACAGCACCCTTTTCTTGTCCCAGCTCTATGTACAATGAGGGATTACTGTTTTCACTCATTGGAAGCATGTAAGGTCAAAAAGAATTTATTAAATTAACTTGATAGTATACTAATACAGGGCTTGCTCACTCTGGTGAACATGTTGATGTGACTTTGAAGTTTGTTTATTAGAATAAGAGAGTGTACTGGTTCAATACCTTTTTTAACCAGATGATATGAAATAAAACCACTACAACAGCTACTGTACTAATTTGTTGTTACAGAACGTCAAAATGACAGGAAAATCATATTTCTTGAGCCTTCTTGTTCATTCTAATTTTTCAAGAGGTTAACCGTAACTAAAAATTCTTTAGTTCCATCTCAAAGTTTCTTCCTTGCAGGAGCATTGTATCCACTGATTTGCTTCTGGAGGGCTTTTGATTCCTTTTAGAGGTGACACCAGTGAACTTGTGCATGGTGCATAAGCCCCTGCATGGATCTGTTTGAAGGAAGCAGTGCACCTCTATAAACCACCCTCCAATTCTTTACGATTTCTTGTCGTTGTTTTGGTATGCAAATATAAATTATTTTATTCGTTAGTTTTTCTGTTAGAGTTGTGTCTAATTTTGTTTCTCTGTCTTCAGAATGCAAATTCTGACAAGCTAACATCATTCATAACCACACTGAATGGTAAGGATGGGAACCTGTGTCACTTGGTCACAGTACCACCAGGCCCTCTGCTTTCAGATGCACTTATTTCGTCTCCCTTACTGCAAGGAGAAGATGGAGCCCCATCTGGAATGGAGTATGGTTCAGAGTATGGATTTGACCCTAACTCTGATCCTGAGCTTGCATTGGTTAGTAACAAGGGTTTTTCAATACATGCACAGTCCTACCACATGAGTAAACTGAGCTAACAACAGTTTTAAGATTAGTTGGTTTGCAGTTGGTAAATGGAGGTTTTGTGTTTTCAGTCAAAGATGATTCTGTGCATTTGCAATTTAATTAAAAGATTGAGTGATTATTGACTGAGAGAGAGATTGACTTATTGATCGATGGATTTATTGTTAGTATTTTATCACATAATTTTCAACAATTTGCCAGATTGTTAAGAAATAACAAGTTTATTTGGGTGCTTTGGTTTGTGTTTTAAAACCCTGTCATTAAGTTATCTAATGACCTCAATTTGCATTAGGGTGAGATACAACTGTAAACTTTTATTTAGTTATCTTTTGCAAAGAAATCAACTTGGTCGTCGGCAAAGGTTCGCAATAGATGAGGCAAGAGAATCGATCACTAACGTTCAGTTAGATATGTCTTGTTCGAAAAAGGATATTAATTAACGAACTCTTTTTCCGTATTCGGTCACCTCAGGAATGCCGCGAAGTGAAAAGCAAATTATATTTGAGGGTAGTAAAGCCTGCCTATGAGCCAAGTGATCCCAGTTGGGTCGGCGATTAACTCCGGTTCCCGTAGCATGAAGTGACTAGGAGTATTTCTACCCCCTCCCCCCCTGAGTGCATTGATAGTCCATGGCAGGGTTACCTTTTGCATTAGATTCGCCGGTACCTTGAAAATGTACAAGGAAATGAGAGAAACTGTATGTTGACCTGGCGAAAATCTTTCACTAGGCTCTTCGTGTATCCATGGAAGAACAGCGACAGCGGCAAGAGGAAGAGGCACGTAGGGCAACGGCAGCTAGTGGAGAAGAGGCTCCTACCGCTGAACCACCCATTGCTGACAGCGAGGAGGCAATGCTTCAGCAGGCTTTGTCCATGTCTACTCCGCAAACTCCAGTATTTGACTTCAGTGCCATGACCGAGGAACAGCAGATTGAGTACGCCATGAGGCTGTCCCTGCAAAACATGGAGGCAGACACAGAAGCAGGTGGTGGGAAAGATCCGTCAGAACAGCTGACTGAGAAGGAAGAAGAGGCTGGAGCTAGTGCAATGGAGACAGATGGAAAGGTTGTTGTATTTTCCGTTTTTCACAAACTGTGAAGTATATTCCTAACATTCTATGAAAACCATATTTTAAAATACTACCATTTGTCGTCGATCATGATAAGAATCGCGATTGATCTTCAACATTTACTGCAGAAAACGCGACCGCGGAACTAGTGGAAGATATCTTTAACCTCGAAACTAGTAGTGAAAGTTAAATCGTTTTACGTAGTGGAAATATTAGTTGTCGTCCGGCTATAGGAAAGGAGGGAGAGTTTCGAGGAGAACGAAACAACGTCACTTGCAAAAAGTGATCTGAGAGTGACAGTGGTTTGTGTCAACTGTTGTTTTATGACAGGGAGATGACACCCAAGACATCACTGGCGTCATGTCTGACCCGGACTTCATCAAGAACGTCCTCAGTACGTTACCTGGCGTGGACCCCAGCAGCGAAGCTATTCAGAAGGTGATAGGGACCCTCGCTCAACAGGACACCGGCGAGAGTAAGGACCAAGAGGAACCTATGGATGAAGACTCCAGCAAAGAAAAGGAGAAGAAAAACGCAAAAAAATAACAAGATTTTATTTGTACATAGTCCAGTAACTAAAGTAAAAATCTTGCAAGTGATAGATCAATCGACATTTTGTTGCTAGACAAGGTCAGGGTTTGTGCCTTCGTAGTAAATAAATATTTGAAACGATTTCGTGTTTAATGTTCTTGAGATTTTCGGAAAAAAAACGCTTTATAACTGTCTCAACATCATTAATAGAAGTATCTCTCTGTTTCATTTTTACTGTTTGTTTTTCATGACGATCCTATTGAGGGGCACCCTTTTGTCGACGGTTCTGCTAACGATGCTGATATTTGGAGCCAGAATTTGCAAGTAGTTCCGGACGTACGTGAGCGGCGTACACTTTCAACATCGGGCTAACTGGCGCCATTGAATTAACTTTGACAAAAGCGACATAAACAAATGGTCGATACCGGCCAGGTGGTTTGTCTATATGAAAATTGAAAAAAGGAGGCAAGACGCATGGACTGGAGCTAACAATGTAGTGGAGCGCTATAAAACAGTAGCTTGAAAGCCAATGATCTTTTATTGTGCAAATTATAAAGTCAGAGCTTTCTGAGGTTTCTTTTTTTTTTTTTCTTTTTTAGTTCTTTTTTAATGATGTGGTCAGGTTTTGACGGACGAAGACAATTTTAATTAAAAAACAAAAATATTTCTCTCCGAGGTAACTAAAACAAATTTTCCACTCATACAGCACCGATAGCTTAAGTCCAAGCCAAAACAGATTTGTTTCAATTTTGAGAAACTGGTGATCTGCAAAGACAGTTCTGAGAAGGAGATGGATACAAGCCAGTCACCTTCAGACTGGGTTTCGTGTCTCATGCTGACAACCAGATTGTCGAATTGTATTATGAAAGTTCTCCATCTGGCAACAAGTTAATTCATGGCACTATTATTTCCACAGACAAAACACTTTTTTTGAACTTGTGACACTAGCGGTGTGAAAATGTTTCACGAGAAGGCTGTCTATTTCAACTTACTTGGCTCTTTTTCGAAACGGCTGACGAAACGATTCTCAATTTTCTGGCACCAAATGGAGGAAAATATAGAAATTCGATTTGGGCAGATTTATTTTTATGTAAAAGGATTGTATGTTTCTAAGATTGTATGTTATCATTCTTATGCTTACTTGTCTTAGCGGGCGGCATGGGAATCACAGAGGGAAAAAAAGTCCAGGGATTTTAATAGAATCGCGCGCGTTTCGTGATCGTCGCGCGAGCAAAGAGAGATCTTTCAGTTGCGAGCATGGCTTCCCGCATGTTAGTCATGTTGCTCCTTCAGTTCTCACATTTTCGACCCTTTTCCGGAAAAACCCAATCTGTGTCGATACGTCTGTTATGGTGGGGCAGGCAGAGTAAAATGTAAAATTTGATCATTTCTCCGAATCGTCTTCCAAGGTTTTTATAAAAAGGCCCTTGATGATTCCCCGATCACTCATCCAGAAGTCTGCAGGATATTTGACAGAAATTTAAAAAAAACGTTCAAAGATTTGTGAGTATTTGGTTGACGCTCGAAGTAGATGTTAAAAAAGCCACGTTGCTTGCCTGTTTGAGAAGCATGATTAAGATAAAACTGGATGAAATCGAGATGAAAGGACTGTCTGTGATAGTGACAAGTTGATGGCGTGTAGAGATACGCCCGTATTAATTTGTGCAAGCGATGAACGAGATTCGGGCCTACCACTATCGTAGTATAAGCATTCAAAAAAGTTAAATTGAGTCAACTGTGGACGGGAAAGTCGAACCACAACTAAAACCAACTGAAACCACGAATCGCATTGGTCGCTGCTCACATGAATCATGTTACGCAATTCTCCAAGTCTCAAGCTGATGTGTGGAGTTCTAAATCTAGCGAGTGTCGAGTTCCAGGTCCTTCCAGTAGGACTCAAACTACCATGTTACTACAACGAAATCATTACTCCATACATTAACTTCAATTTTTGTCTATGCTTGTTATTATACAAAACAAATTACCACGTGCACGGTTTGCCACTGTGGCTGTTGGCTCTTAGAGTAAAAACTGCTGGAAGCTGCTTGATGACGGATGGAGCATGTCAGTTCATAACAGTCTCTCCAGTCTCGTGAGAGGCTCCAGGAACCATCTGAAAAGAAGGGTGTAACCAGGGACTATACCCCCGCCCCAAAGCTGGGTGATATCATCGCTATCATGAGATTAACGTCCAGGAAAAAAAGGACTTAACTTTTTCCTATTGAAAAATCATTGGTAAAGGGTGACAGAAAGTTGGGAAGGGTACAGTATACGAAATTGAAAGGAAAGAGAGAGGAAATGATAGCAATCAAAAGCAAGAGGTGCAGTTGCAGTTTAGGTGTGGTTAGCAGAAGAAAGAACTACTGAAAGCAGGACATGTTTGATACACTCCTCCCCAACCCTACTTTCTGATTTTTATCGCATTCTCGTATAATCAGGAGTAGTTCTGATAATCTCCTAAAGTAGGCCACGTTAATGTCTATAGTCCGCGCTGACGATATTTTTTTAACTTTATGAAGTTAATTTCCTGTCGCTGGCACTGCGACGTATCATCGACATCATGTGGCGAGCTTAGGTGACAATTCTGCCAACCATAGTACACGATAAAGTGATTCATGGCGGTTCTGCCCAATGAGCGGTTTATTTGGAAGATTTCATAGCCAAAACAAAGGGAAGACTAGGAAGCAATTATCTCTCGATTAGTTTCTTTTGGAGACCGGCCGTGGAGGTCAAAGAGGCTTAACTTGGGTATCTCATATGATTAATTTGATACTTAAAAGAGCGACACTTTCAACCTCCTTTCTATTTTAATCCAGCAATCCAAAAATCCTAAAGATAATTGTCGCGAGACAACTCCTCCCTCTCCCTACCCGTCAGCCACCCTAACAAATAGGGCACAGATATATCTGATGAAATACGATACGAAGGAGAGAGGATTTTAAGGTTGTGATACGGAAAATTTCCGTCGCAAGATTTCCCGAAAGCCCGCCGCTTAAACAGTATTCTTTACTCATCAGTCATGCTTCTTCGTTTGTGGTATGTTTTATAGTCTCATTTACAATTCAATGCAGTAGTCCGTTGATTACTTCGTAATCAGTTTGTAGATGGTTCATCCTCTTAATCATTTTACTTACGGAAACTACAAACACTTGCACTAAATCTTCCTTTTCTTTCTCTGACAAAATGGATGCTCTAACTTCTTTATATTTTGAAAACGGCCTAAGGGACTCGTCCCTAGGAGAAAAAGAAACTTGCGAAAGATATTGGATTTCCCATAATCACAGAATATTTATCTCCGCTTGATGGCACTCTTTATTTGCCTTTGTTTTTTTTTGTTTTTTTTTTAAACGTCTTACAATGCAGACGGGTCTTTAAAAGGAGAATTTCTATTAGAGGAGATAATGAGTTTAAAAAAATTCTGCGCTCAGTGTAAAAGGACGCTCAATTTTCCTTGCTTTTCAGTTACATCCTGTGGCTGACTCTTAAAACATTCTGGATCCATCTGTTATTAGCATTGGACGAACGAAGACCGCATGTTGGGAAAAATGCCAGGAAAAATGAAATACGAGCAATTTTTTATATCTTAAAGAGCAACCTTTAGATACTTCTATTTTGTGACAAAATATGCCGAAAGAAGCCTCATTAACAACGATTCCTGCAGATAACCACAGATGAATTCACGCTGAATTTCTTGTCCTCTCAACGTGACAGACGCGCTCCCCGTGGTCAAAGGTCATCAACTACCTCTTGACCCTTTCATTGTTCGCGATCTTTCTTGAAACAAAACGAATTTTTTCCAGTTTGTTGATAGCTTGTAATTCTGTAGCGATAGATAACAAGCCTACTTTTTCCGCTGATAAATACGAAAGTATGTCAATACATAAATGAACAAACACGTTGTGAAATACCGCAAAAATGGTGTTGTTACGAAAAAAAAAAACTGCGATGCTTGGTGTACTCTTTACAGCTAAGCCTCAGGATATCTGTGTTGGTCTGTGCACTCAAATAAGGTCGTGCTCTGCGATGAAAATTTTAAACTCGGACTTTTTCTAAGAGTTGACATGAAAATCAAATAAGAGTGTAGAATCTGACAAAACCTCGGCTATTCGGTAACGTAATAGGATATTGATTGCCACCCGATAGTAAAATTGAGGGCGGGTCAGATTAGGTGACAGATATTTGCTTCCCTTGTTATTCTCAATCGCCGCACCCAACGCACCGCCAATAAAAATTTCCTGGCTACTTTAGTCCGTGAAAAAAAGATGCATGCGTGATAAATAAAGCACAAGGATCCAATCAGATCGATATCTGCTATGATAAATTCTATAAATGCACGATACTAAAACATCTGAAATAAAGGCCCAATTGTCCAAGACCGCATTACTAGTTCACTTTTTTACGTGTGAAAAGGACTTCAAAATTAAAGGACGGCCGAGGCATTGATGACGAAAAAAAAACGGAAAGAACATTCATGAACGATTTCATGAAGAGATGGCAAAAAAGGAAAAAATATCAAATTTGTCACTGGATCCTTTTTCAAACATTTGAACCTTGCGAGATACGCATCTGGTTGCAATTCAGCGGATATAGGGCAAGGCCATGTTCTAAAAAAACATAATTCTCATCCGTCGAGTTCCTTGTCAAGCTTCTTCAGACCGGTTTTAAATATACTGCGAAGGTAATCTCATTATACTCTTAAGACGCGATTTCTTCAATAACCGTCACCTGTGTGAGGTCTTCGTGCGTGTTACTATATCTTCTTTGCGCGCAATCATTAATTACTACCACGTGGTCTCTTCCTAGCCAATGAGACAAAAGTTTACACTACATTTTTCGAGCGTAACGCATGAGCATTGTATACTCCTGAATTTTCTGCGCGTGGCTTGGGCGTTTCACGAAGGTGTGATCGCCATTCAAAAAACATTTCTTTCTCGGTTTGGCCTCACAACCTAAGCCAAATTGGCCAACATGTCGACAGGGAAGGCTAACAAACCGCTAATGGATGGTAAAGCGAGGAGATTTAGCGCCCCTTCGAGAGGAAGAGCAGTGCGAAGGCCTGAAGATGTCGTTCGCGACGTTCGTGGTCTGAAGCTTCGACAGCGTGTTTCTCTTGTTCTGAATGACAAAGTTCTTCGCGATGAACTGGAAGACCTAGTTCAGAACTACGTTCAGAATGGCCCAAAGAGTGGTGGAGAAAGCGTCCGCACGTACCAAGATTTTCTGATTCCCTCTAGTACGTACTATGGAGGAGGCATGTCGGCTGTTGTCACTCCAATAGCGGACATAAGAGGTTCTGATACTTTGAATTATTCCAAACAGGAGAGGTTATTACGTTGTAAACTTGCCGCCACATATCGCTTAGTCGATCTTTTTGGATGGAACAGTGGTTTATATAGCTTCATAACGGTAAATACTCGTAAAATTCGTGTGTTTGGTGAACTGTACTGTAGTATTTGTTTTGTGTTAGTTGACTCGCGCGAGAGTTTGTTTTCAGTGGCCTCCACTGGCCGCGGACGGTACGTGACTATCTCGGTTTAACTTGTGACTCCATGTTCCTAGGCCCCAAGAATTATAGAACGATGTACAAATTTCTAAATCCATTTGTTCTGGTGGTTATATTGGCTGGCGAATGCAGTGGTGCATTTCTGGTAGATAGTTTGGCTGTATAGAGTAGTGAATCACTGATACAAAAGACTTGTCTGTTACAATTGTCGATGTTGATTTCAATTTTTCCAGATTCGCCCCACGGTGGACCAAGAGAGTTTCCTGATCCATCCATTTGGACTCATGTACACTGAAGTGACTGCGTCCAGTCTGGTAAAAGTCAATCCTGATGGAACTTTGGTTGATCAAGGTAGTACCAATCTGGGTGTGAATAAAGCTGGTATGTTGCTGCATTCTGCCCTCCATGGTGCCAGAAAAGATGCCAGAGCGATTATCCATCTTCACCAAGCGGACACTGTAGCCGTGAGTTTTCTTGCTTAATGCAGGAATACAAACTATTTTTATTTCCTTTAACTGTTGTAGCATTCATTTAGGTAATTTTGCGCGGTTGTGTTCTGACAAACTGGCCTTAATTCTGATACGTCATATCGGTATGCACTGCATATTTTCTCCGTCGATACTACACTTGGTCATGAAATTAGTGTTGTTCATTTTGTCAATTTACATTGCCGATAGATTTACCTTAACCTTAATGAAGAAAAAGTGGCTGGATTGTCTTTTTCGCGTGACTTTTGTCATTTCAACTGCGGGGGTCTACCATTTCTGCAGGTTTGAGAGAGGTGACAACCGATCGAGGCTTCGATTCGTACGCACTCGTAGCAAAATGTCAAATTGTTTTATTACTGTCCTTCCCGCGTCAAGAAAACTATACGAGTCACTCACTGGAGTTTTTATTTGCCCAGAAGAGTTAAAACTGTATTTAACTTGTTTATGTAGCTGATGTTGGAGAAAAAATTGAAGATATCGGAAGCTCGATGGGCGGAAGATTCCGTTGAGAAAACAGTACATTTTCTTGTCATCAAATTACTGCCGAGTGTTGGGTTGAATTTCGTCTTATCGATATTGAAGCAAGTTTTATTTTGTGAGGAAACAGCGATATGTATGTTCGGTAGAACGAAAAAGGAGGAATCAAATGTAAAGTTAAGCTTAATAAAGATGAAATTTTAATGATCACAAAGAATGCAGTTGAATCGAGGCATTGTTGAAGACATTGGATTATATTGATAAGGATATGTAACACTAGCGTAGCTCGTCATTATTCCAGATTCTTTTAAAAATATATATTTAACAACAGTTGTAGTATTAACTAAAACCCAAGTGCCCGTCCAAAGCTGAGTCCTTAGGTCAAGTTTTCTGGTTGTAGCCTAATCCCTCGTGTTTACCGTTTAGCACCTGCTCGAGCCAGACCAGGGTTGTACGATTTGAATAAATCTGCTATTCATGTTTTGGAAAAAAACTATAAATTAAACATTTTCGTTGATCGCGCAGAGAGTAATTTTTGGATATCCAAGTAGTATTAGGTTTTCTTTACTCGATAGTCTAGAACTGTCGATTCACAGTTTGCGTTCAGTCGTTGTAAAAAGAAAAACCGGCTTTACGCTGAAAGTCGTGACATTACAACAACTTGAATTTTCTCGAACTTTCTCAACAGGCTTTTACCCTTCTTTAATTTGACACTTGTCTTTGTGTATTTTTACATTTGTTCATTTGTATAAACGAGTCTAGAACAATTTTTAATATGTAAGGTTGTTTTACCTGATTCATTTGGTATATATTGCATGCATTCTACACAGCCTATTTAATCGACAATATTGAAATCACCATTTTATGGTATTTCTGATGCAGGTTCACTTGATGGTCTTGTTCTTAAAAGTATTCTTGACCTATTAAAACCACCTCAAGCTTAACCTTTGAGAACATTTACTGTAACTCCAACAGAAATTGCTAGATTCAATCCTCACCTTGCTTATTCCAATAATAACAAGTATTGTGCCTTTCAAAAAGAACACAAACAGTCCTTCATTTATACTTTTTCTTGCTCAAAAATTTTTCCAGGAGATTTTATAATCCAGTTGTCACTCCATGTACACTTGCATGATAAATTTCTTTTCTCTTATCATTCCATGTCCTTATTCCTATTTTACTGAATTTCCACAAATTTTTAAGCCACCAGACTGGACATTTTGCGATCTCCATGAGTTATTCCAACCTTCATGTAACAGGTATCAGGGGAAGCTAGTCTAATATTTATAGATTATAAACTGAACAACAGATCTAAGCATTGCTTCATAAAAGTGCTGTAGATCCTTTTACTATAAGAGATGTATGAAAAGTACAGTTTCACAAGTGATTTAGTTAGGAGAGGAATACAGCTATTTTTTTTTTATTTTTTTTTTATTTTTTTTTATTTTTTTTTGCACTAGGCCATAAGCATATGTCTATCTAATTTAATTCTTGTTGGGCATAAACCAATGGTACAAATCATTTTTGAGGCACAAACTCCTTATATTGTTCTGTCTGAAATACTCTCTTCTTTCCAGGTATCAGCCATGAAGTGTGGACTTCTCCCAATTTCCATAGAGGCTCTCACTGTAAGTTCTTGCTCTTGCTTTGCACTCTACCATTGTTTCACCTGTGCACCCTTGTCTTTGACTTGCAGTTTGAATATGCAAATGGCACAGATTGTGGCTGTATTAAGAGTGTGTGGGATTTGCATGCTTCTGCTGTGCTTTTAAAGTGGAGGTGCTACTTTTACTTGAACTTCACACAAAAATGCTTCACATTTCTAGTGTTGTGGCATAATTTTTTTCTCCAGACCAAGCATGTAGACTCTGGCCGCAAAAAGAAGTGATTGAATGGCAGAATTTTTGTAAAGGAGAACTTCTCCACTTGTCAAAAAGTGCAAGGGCTGAGAATTTGAAGTCTCTTCTTTCCTACTATGTTCTGAATTTGTTAATATTTTTAAGATATCTGTATGAATTAGGATGTATCCTATACACCACCATTGTACATATCATAAAGCAGTGCTTAGAAAATACTGTGTTCATGTGCATGGCTTGTTTCAAATAAATAGCTTCTTAAAATTCATCAAAGAAAAAAAGAGAAAACAGAACAACTCCTTTTGCCACCAGAAGTATTCATAGACTTATGTTATTAATTTGGTTTACTTACAGCTGGGTGAAGTAGCTTACCATGATTTTAGAGGGATTTTTTCAAATGAAGAAGAAAAGGAGTCAATAGTGAAGGACATGGGTGAAGAAAGCAAGGTATTAATACCACTATCCAATTTAACAGCATACACATGCAATGTACTAAAGTGACATCAACCTCGTGCAAAAAGGAAACTGACATCATCTTTCATCTTAGAAGAGGCCAAACAAGATGATTGATCTCATATTACTCAAAACTTGACTTTTACTTGACCTTAAAGAAATTTTTTTCCCTGACTTTTTCCTGACCTGTGACAACCATAATTTAGTTGGCAATTTTTGTTGGCAGTCAATTACTCTTAACAGTGGTGTCAACCACGATTTACAAATGAAGGATTCCAAATTGTTTTAAAGTATGCTGTTACTAGGACACTGCTTTGGAAACCATCAACAGAACTCCAACCTGCTTTCTTTCTTAAAGGTAATGATCCTCAGAAACCATGGTATTGTTGTTTGTGGACAAACTATTGAAGAAGCATTTCACCTGGCACATTCTGCTGTTAAGGCGTGCACCCAACAGGTGAGATATTCCTATTAATTCTAGTTCATTAAAATGAATTAAAGAAAGAACAACAGTCTTGAGTTATTAAATCAATGGCCCATGGATGTCTAGAAACATAAAATCTTGTCATGGGGTCATTACATCCATTTTGCAACATCATTTACCATTTCCAGGCCACCCAAGAGATGGAGGGTGTATGTATTCAAGTATTGTACAAAGAACTTAATGCAGTTGCAATTCCTTTGAAATGCCTGAATTTGTAGCCTACTATTTCCTTTATTGCTTGTTTTAAGGCAGTACTGGTGGCTACCTTGATCTTTTGGAATGCTTCTATTTTCTCACACATTGAAGATTATTGTTTAAGGTTACCATGCACCTTCAGGGGTGTCCCGCATGCAAGCGATGTAGTGCGTCCGGTTTAAACTGTAGATATCTAAACCCCTATATCAAATTAAAGCTTATAGGACTGGCTATCAGGCTATACCAAAAATTTTGAAAAAAATATAGATTGCCGAATTTTTCAAAACTTCTAAATGCGAGTGCCACACCTGAATCACCTTTTGAACGTTACATGTTAAAGCGAAGTTTGTTTTTCACTTATTTAATGTGTTCCTGCATTTCCGGGGCCAAACGCTAAAAAACATGTCTGCGATTTGCCTTATTCAATTTCAGTGAAAAGTTACAGAACATTTTTTAAATAAAAAAATGTGGAGTGATCATACAAAAATTGCTCTTGAAAAAAAGTATTTAGAAATAAAAAATTCGGAGACATAATTTTGTTGTTTATATGTAAAACTAGCTACTGTCAAAATTTGAGAGCAATCAAACAAATTCCCTTTGACTTGTAGCTCTTAAAAGGTGATTCATGCGCTTGCATTTAGAAGTCATGAAAAATTTGACAATTAATTTTTATATTCAAAATTTTTGGTTTAGTCTGATAGCCAGTCCTATAAGCTTTAATTTGATCTGGGGGTTTAGATATCTAAAGTTTAAACCGGACGCGCTACATCGCTTGCACACAAGACACCCCTGAAGGTGCATGGTAACCTTAACCCATTAATGGCCACAGCTTTTGTAGAAAACTGTGTTTTGAAGCTAGTCAAGCAGATTTCAGGTCACTGTTGTGGTTTTAAAAGCTCCAACTTACCAAAAACCCCTTGACAGCTCATACACTTGACGGCCTTTCGATCCAAATGCAAAATGGTGGCCTGAAAATCTCAGGCACGCGCAGAAAGCAAAATTTCGAGATAGTTTTTGGGTTGAAAAGTAATGCCCCACTTACGACTTTTACTTTTCTCTCTCTCCTGCCCTTTTTTTCCCCTCTCCTTGCCTGGAGTTTCTCCTCATTTGCTGGAAATTTAGTAGGCTTCATTTTGGTGTAGAGATTTTTCAGAAACTACTCATCAGTTTCAAACCACATGCTCAGAAAAGTAGGTGGGTAATGGAACAAGATTTTCATCCAGATTTTCAGGTCAAAACTACATGGTTTTTTGGCTATTTCTCCAATCTCCTTCACTCAATTGCACTCATTCTGGTATCGTTTGTAAGATATTTTCAACCTGTTCAAGTACGTGCTCAAATTCGTGCTCCAGGGTTAAAAGTGATGATGTCACAAGGCGTAGAAAGGGTGTGGGTCCCCACGGGCGCATACGGGCGCACTGGACGTCAATAGGTTAAGTAGCCAATTTGCAACATCTCATTATTTGACATTGTGCCATTTTCTAGACACTTGTGATAAAAGTTTCACTTGAAATCTCTTGGCAAAATAGCGATACAATCCTGGTCTAATGGTGTTTGTGATTCACACAGTATTTCCTTTAGATGCCATTTTTGACACATCCATTTCATAAGTAACCATTCGGAAATGATATATGAAGTGCTCTTCTACCCAGAAAGAACCTAAAGTAGCTAACCACTTATATTTTCCAAGCAACAAAAACACAAATTTGTTTTCTTAAGCTTTTTTATTCTAAAAAATGTTTTTTGATATTTCTAATTTTGGCATGCATGGCAATCATAAGCAGGCGAATAACCACAAATTACATTTTGTCATGCCACTTTTAACAGATTGAAAGTTATGACTTCCAAATGCCCACTCTGTCATATTTTTGTGGCTCCTGGTGATGCACTTTCCTTCTTTTCACTTCCCAGTCAATTTCTTTAAGTAAGAGAAAGCGTAGAACATTCATTGCAACCTCTACTTTTGTGTTACTTTTCCTTATCTTACTAATGCACATCTTGAATGCCAAGATTATCTCAGAACACCACAGGACAGTTGTTGCTATGAATGGTGCAAATGTTTATAGTCTCATGTTCTGTTTTTTGGGGGTAAAAATAGCAGGATTGATATGGCGATGAAGTTAACTACAACTCATGCAATATTGCAAAAGTAAGGAAAAAGAATCGGTTTGATTGCACATGGCTTTTGACAAATGTGAACTTGGTCTTCTACAGTGTGAATACATGCATGGTGTTATAGTGGTTCTACCAGTCATATTGTACATCATTATTTACAGTCATAATGACCCATTTATATTTGCAGGTTAGAGCTATTGGTGTTGGCATTGATAACCTTATTAAGTGTGAAGATTTTGCCAAAGAGCAAGTGAAAGAAACAGCTCAGTCTGGAGGAGGGGGTGTGGACTCTAGTGAATTAAAATGGAAACCAGGGGAGATGGAGTTTGAAGCATACATGCGTTTACTGGACTCTATGGTAAGGTCATAATTCTTAGGATACATAAATCTTATTTGAAGTTTTGGTTTGTAGTGTTATCTGCTTATTGACTGGGTTGGGGGGCCAGACAGGAAAATATTTGGCTCAAGGTTGTGATGTATAGACTGAATGCATATCAACTTGTCCCACCCTGCACACGTCAGCTTTAACTATGGTCTTCTATGGAATTGGCAAGCAGGACCAAACGGGTCATGATAACACTGAGTATTTTTACAAGTTGTGCTGTATTCTGAGGATGCTGCAGGTTGAGTCAAAACACAAATGACAACAAAGAAATGCTCAATGATACAACTTAAAAAATGTCAAATTAGTAATTTATTATCAAACTACTTTATGTTATGAACGTTTCTTTTAAATAGAGAAGCTGTTTGTTACAGGTCTAGCATAACACAAGTTGGATTTTTTTTTGCACTGTACAAGAATTAACCATACCATATTGTGAATAACTTTACTTGATTTGTGCATTATTTGTACCCAGATACCTGTTACACAGGGCTGGACACTAATGGTAGCCAACAAGCCACAGACAAGTAGAAATTCAGTTTTGGCTAGCGGTTTTTTATTTCCACTGGCCAGTTTGGCTAGTAAACAAACTGGATAACTAGCACCATAACTAGAACGTGATAGCTGAAAATGTGTGGTATTTGTCCAGAAAATGGTTGTTGGTGTTAAATTGTTTGGGAAAAATCACATTTTTGTATTTAGTCCTTCTTGGAGTTTAGCTCAACAACTTTTGAGATCTGGCATTAAGAAATGTCTTGTATTTAATATACATGAAATATTCATCCAATACCAACACCTGGGTTGACTGTGTAAGGAATGGTCTATTTTTTTTTTTTTTCATCCACAGGGTTATAAGACAGGCTATGTGTATAAAAATCCAGAAGTGTTCCATGGTGAGAAACCTGCAGAACGTGAAGTGACCACCCCATCTACTGTGTCATCCACACGAGCAAAGATGTACTACACACCGGAGATTGAACGAGGACAAATCAGAAGAGCCCATTCCACAGGACGTGCAAACACCTACAGAAACCGTGTTAAGTGGCTGAACACCCCAGTGAAGTCTACAGAGTACAAGAAAGACAAGGAGAAAGTTGAGTTGGAGAGTGATGAGCCTGTGACAATTAAGGATCTCTTACCAGAAAGAGTTGACAAGGACTTGGAGCAGGTAGGAGAAAAAAGTGTTCCTGTACATAGCATTTCAAGTGGTCACATAATAAAAGCCAAAGAGTATAACATAGTTGAAATAATGAACATTGATTTAACAATAAGGTTATTGAACGTGCTAACAAAAAACAGATATATGAGAAATTTGTTGCATTTGATTCTACTGACACCAAAATCTTTTACCTAATATATATGGAAATGTGCAGCACCTAGAGGGTATTATTGACAATCAGATCGTAGGAGTTAGAGGGTTAAATTCTTTAATAATTTGAGTTCTTTCCCTCTCAAAAGGCCCCTGAAAACAAAGAAGTGACTCTAAAAACATCACAAGTTGTGATCACAGAGTCAGTGCCTCATGAGAAGGGAATCAACGGCGATGAGACAAAGGAAGTGAGACGAGAGTACGCACAGAAGACAGTGGTAATCACAACAGAAGTGAATGGCGAAGCAGGTGATGAAAAGGGTACTGAGGATGCAGATGAGGATGGTCCAGATGGTGAGTTGTTGGTTCCAGGTGCTGATTCACCAGAGCCTGAGAGCCCAACTAAAAAGAAGGGCACCAAGGTCAAGAAGAAGAAGAGCTTTAAAGATGCTTTAGTGAAAAAGTTCAGCAAGAAGGGTGAGCGGCCTGCAAAGTATGAGAAGGGTGATGCAGAGAAGGTTGAATAGTGTCCAGTGAAAGTGACTCATTCTTTACAACTGGCCAAGTTTTATTTGCAATTGACTTAACAGTGGGATTCCTTTGCAATAGGAAATTTCATGAACAAATAAATATGCTTGTTGTCAAATGTATAAAGTTTAACAAAATCTTCAAATGGGGATTGTAACCCCTAAAGTGAGCTCAGAAATTAAGAAGCCTAGCTTTATTTGTTGTGATATAGGCCTACAAAGAGAGAAAGTTTCAATATCTTATGAAGAATGTAGGATGATGGAGAAACAAGTTTTCTTTTTAAGACTGTGTGATGAAGATTTTTGATCATACAACCCGTAGTTACCAATAATTACAATAATTTTTACACTTAAACTGTGTGAACAAAGCTCTCCCTCGTGTGTTTGGTCAGCAAATGATATATTTCTTTGTCCAATATTTTATTTGTGGGCATAGAATATCACTTAAGAGTTGTCAACAATGTTTAGGTCAAATTTTTTCTAGCCTTAGGTTTATTTTATTCCTGTATGATTTTTATTATTTGATTGTATGCTAGCAGATGAACCAGTGGTTCCCTTTTCCTGAGAATTTAAATAAACAATGTTCGCTGTCATTAGATTGTATCTTGAAATGAAATGATATTGACGAAGGGGAGTAATGGTTTTATTTTAAGTTCTCCAACCTATTACAGTAAGAGATGTTGAGAAATGTCTCAAGATTAACTAAAATCAACATTTCTTCATTATGGGTCTAAAAGGGTCCTTGCATACAACATACAACTTTGCAGAATTGTTTGCAATGCTTTTGTTATCTAAAGGATAAAAAAGGTGCTACTGACATGGATTTTAAGATTGTGTGCATTTAGCAAAACTTTCATGTGTAAAATGCTCACATGATTTGCAGCCATGATGAAGTGTCACAGGAAATAGATTAGAAATTTAGGGGAAAATTGTCCAGTGAACCTAGCCTTACCACTCAAGTTCTAGTAAATTATTTTTTGACAGGCCTAATCTTTGGTTCATTTTTATGGTTCAATTTTTTTTTTCCTTTTGTTTGTTTGTTTTTGCTTTCTTTTGTCTTATTTGTTAGGATTTGTTAGAAAGTGACACAGCAGTGTTGATATGCAAGTTGGACTGGTCAATTTTGCCAAGAAAAACTCTTTGCAAAATTTTTACTTTTCAGAGTTTTCAACTCCATACTTTCAATGGCACATCAGTCAAGGGTTGAGTAGAATATTTTATTTTATTATCACAAGGTCAATTTTAGCAGCTATTCCTTGAGCAATAATTTGTAGTATTAACCTAAATCTTGCAAAAGTCATCTTACTACATAGTTCTATCTACTAATTTATCTTCAATCCAATGTTAGCACACTGGCTCTTAACTGCAGATTTTAGCCCAGGATTTAACTGTTATATTGTTATGTAGACTATGAAAACAGAATTTAAATGATGTAATGGTTTTACTAGATGAATAAAGAGCATTATAAAGGCCAAGTGGTGAAGTTGTAATTAATTTTGACAAAGACAGCACCCAAGGTGATAAGGCAGTTAGCTTACGCTCTTGAAATCAAGGTTATCTTCTCCACCAAAATTATAAGAAATTTCCACAATTATTGCCTTTTGAGATTTCAAAGTGTCTCTACCCTTTCCCCAAATTGTCTCCAGATGAGCTTCAAATTTGACGACCAAAAACAACACTCGGAGTCTTGCTTTTGCAACCTGGCTGTTGACCTGATGGATTTTTTTAATGATGACCGCAGCTACAGCAGTTAGTGAACTCTGCTTTATTGTGATGCCTTAGGTTGAGTTGTTACCAACATCATGCAGACTGTGGTCAAACTATTAGCTAATTTTAAAGCATGTTACTCTTAGCACTCCTCAAACTCTGTAAAATGGGGGATTTTTAAGATATACTCTGAAATGGCACTGACAAATATGAAATGGTTCCTTGGGCATGCTTCTCTTTTCAGCCCTGGCACCCTAACATGAATATTCATAATTTAGGACTCCCACTCCTCGAAAGTCCTTAATTTAATTCTTGTTTTCCAGGACTTGAAAACCCTTGAATTTAGTCTCGGTCCTTGAAAATTTCTTAGAAGTCCTTGAAAATAAGTGCAGATGAATCGAAGTCAAAGTTTTCTTTTGTTTTTGGTGGTGAAAGTGAAAGTTTCTAGCACAAATCTCGAAAATGAGTTTTCTCTCAAATCCCCTGCCAATAATGATGTTTGATATGCGAGACATGTTACAAAAATACCTATTTTTTGCACTCACCCTGACAAAAGTGCTTACCATTGCAAATTTAAAGATTGTTTCCCCCCTCTCCTGTTGCAATGTTGTTTGCAGTAACACAAGAAATGCATGCTTGAGCTGTTAAGCCCCAACAACATTGTACCAGGGGTGGGGAGGGGGGCAAGTTTGTTCCTTAGGAAATGATTGTTACATGGCGGGAAATTAAAATTACATTGAAATGTCTCAACAATTTTGTCCAGGGTTGTAACAGCAGTGGTTTTTTTTCCTTATTCTTTCTGTTACCTCCTATTTAATGAAACAGGTCCTTGAATTTGCGAGCCAAGGTCCTTAAAAATGACCTAAAAGGTCCTTGAAGTGGGTTCCTGAAAAAGTGCAAGAACCCTGATTCATATTCTCCATACTGTTGCCTTAACATTTCCTATAGTACTAAGAGAATTTGTTGGGCAATTAAGAGCTTGGAATGGTGATTCTGATGACCTTCATATTTGATTCAAGGGTCATGCTGTAAGGAAAAATTAGAAGCCAGTAAACTCTTTGGGGATAAAGGACTGACCAAATTCAGTTTGGTTTCGATTTCTCTGTAAGCTGTAATATATAGCACATTAAGGGAAATACTAATTTGTGTTAGCTTTACTTTTGACTCTTATTTTGCCTGTGCCATTTACAGATTAAACTGGTTATGTCAAGACCTCATCAGTTGACCACCATACAATATTAGAGAAACTAGTTGTAAATCACATCCTCATTATTAGTGTGTTTAAGAAAGGGCAAACTAGGATTTTCCAGAATAAGACAATGATTAGTAACACTTACTTGGCTTCAATAAACGAAATATCCCAGAAATGTAATACCTTGGCATTCTCTTTAGGAATGAATAGATTTGGAGCAGAAAAATATGTGGGAGTACACCCTAACATCACATGCACATTATCCACATTGTTCTCTTTATAATTTCCTCAGGTGCTAACAAGGAGAATTCATTTAACAATGAAGAACACCTCTAACTGGTGATCATTTCTTTTCTTCTAGTAAGCATTAAAATGTTTGATTGACAGGTGATATTGTAAGCTCATCACATTTAGGAGTTAAGGGTTAGAAGTGGAATCTTGTCATTGTGAAGGATGACAAGTTATCCAGGGCTTCCATATGTTTTAAATTAATGGAAACTTTATTATTGTTCTCTCGGTTCAAAATGATTTGAGTGCTTTTTAAAGTTGTTTACTTCCCCTTCCCAAAATGCTACAGAAATGTAGCCAGTAAAACTGTTGTTTTTTATGACCATCTACCTCCATGCCATTAACCATATGTTTTAAGGTCACTGTACATTCCCTATCACAACTAGTGACTACAATTTACTCAACTCCAGGGGTTATGTGCATTACATCGCAACAAGTTTTGAAGGAAACTGACCAGACTACTGATCAGTTGCACAAGCTGTAATCCAAGACATTTTGCACTCCATGTGCCACTCACTCGCAGGTCAAGTTCCTGGAAGAGACTTTCATTGCCTGACCACAACTGTTTTCTTCAAATACATTCTTTAAATGTTACATCTTTCACTTTTCCTTGGTTATTAAATTCATTGAAGTCCGTTCCATCTCTTTTTCCTGTTCTAAGTCTGAGGCATATAGCTCTAAAAGTTCTTTGCTTTCTTGTTCAGGAAGATTTCTACCATTCTTGTTCTCATCTTGTTTCCTTTTCTGGTCTCTTAGTTTCCAGGCCCAGTGTAAATCCTCTGTCCACATCTCCAAAAAAAATGTATTGTTAAGCAAGGTAACAAAATGCATCAATTGATGCACGTAAGGAAACACTGTTTTATTGTATTTTGCATCTTACTAGTATTGTGAAAAATGACCCATCAAACACCTACTGACCAAGTTTGAGATACATACTTTAAGTTACCGACCCAGTTCGTTCCTCTTGGATTATTGGCCCAAGCACAAAGTGTACCAGCCATAAAACTAAGCAAGTGAGCTGAGAAAGTGAGGTTAGTAACTTTTTTCTATTAAATCTCTGGTTTCAAACAGAGGACAAGATTTCAAGTGAAACCAACTTTTGAATTCAGTGTGGTGTGGCTCACAAACTTACTGAGATAGATAATAAGATTGATTATTTCCTTACCTCTAAGTCATCAGGTCGTAAGAAAATAGCTTTTGAGAAGTTTTTCACCCCCTATGGTACAAAACATTTAAAGTATTTTATTTTACTTATAAATGAAATAACACAAATTATTTTTAGGATAGGGTTTTTAAACAACTTTTAAAAAAAAAGGTGAGCTAAAACATTAACAGATGTTAAAATTTCTGTACAAATCCGGCATAAAAAATTTGAAAATTGAAATACATTGCTAATACGTATGATGCACGATCCTTCGCAGTAGATAGCGCTACCTATGCAATAGTGAAAATCAGACCTGAAAAAAATCAGGCCTGTACAGGATTCGAACCACTGACCTCTGCGATACTAGTGCAGCGCTCTACCAATTGAGCTAACAAGCCAACTGGGAGCAGGCCGTTAAGTTGATTCGTAATAAACCCATGATGATAAATCAGATACAATGAATATATGAAGTTCATATATTTTGAACTGCTGTATTAAATACGTATGATGCACGATCCTTCGCAGTAGATAGCGCTATCTACTGCGAAGGATCGTGCATCATACCTATTTAATACCACAGTTCAAAATATATGAACTTCATATATTTATTGTATCTGATACATTGCTAAGTTGCTCATTCAAAAGTTATGTGATAACTTTACTGAAAGTATGTGATTAACTACCTCTGAATACCATTGGAGACATCACATGTCAAAAGACATGGTGATCATTGATGTCATGTTAATAAAATTCAGGAAAATTCTAAGCTAGGAACATCTATGGTACCAAAAATTTCTCACATGAGATTTCTCATCATCCTAGTCCTAGTCAAAATTCTTGTATACAATTAAATTTCTTTAAAAAAATTGTTCATAATTAAAGCTTGTGGTCAATTGTCTGAGGATTTGTCTTTAAACATGTAGGATCAGGTTAACATAATGCTGTGGAACGTCAATTCAATGAACCTCTATATCACGAAATCCTCAGTACAACGAATGATACTTCAGTTTCAGTCCGCCTAAAGTTACAGTAAAATGTAAGCCACAAAACCTTGATATGACAAACCCTCCATATAACAAACCAATTTCCCCAGTCCTTTGGCACTTTGTTAAATTGAGTTTCCACTGATTGCTTTCCCTTGTAATCAAAATTGAAACTAAGGATACTGGGAGTTGACTCGGGATTACCAGTGCGAACACTTTCCCAGCATTCCAAACACTTAGCCTTGCCCCATAGAGACACTATCCTCCTACCCTGTCTGTAATAAATCGTAGAGAGCTTCTAAGTAACAAACTGACTATTATCAAATAGATTGACTATTAATTTTATTATCAATTTTATTATCAATTTCTTAACAATTAACATTTTGATTTGCTCTGTTTATTACAGCAATCAGTTGACATATTCAGCAGATTAGAGCTGAAAAATGGAATACTTACCATCTCAACATCACCATACCCCATCTGTGCACGACCAAGAGTTTGATAGGTTACATACCAGTGAGGGTTCAGAGACACTGCTCTTTCTGCTGCTTGTATGGCAGGGAACAACTCGTGTAGCTCTAATAGTACCTAGATACACAAACAACAAAACTAATATGATGAAGAACTAATATTATAGCTTAAAATTCTAGCCTAAGCCCTAGAAATTTTAAATTTTGTAAATGAATTAAGGGATCGACAGGAGGAAAGTATGTTAAGTACCAATACCTGTGATTTCATTTCGTAAAGATTTGCATTGTTTGGAGTCAACGATATCGCTTCGTTCCATTTCCTGAGTGCTTCCCAGTACCTGTTACAACATTAAATGAAAGTAAAGATACATAAATATAAAAGTTTATAACAAAACCTTTAACCCTGTACACCCTCGCATCAGTACACACTTTCTGCATACTTATCTCTGCATTTTTTTTAGTACTGACTAGGAGAATTCATTTAACAATCAAAGCTTCTTAGGTTATCAATCATTTCCTTTAATCTCATGATCTTAATTGACGATCCAGCAGTTTGACTGTAAGGAGATAGTAGATTCCGGTCACTTTTAGGTTTTTAGGGTTAGGACAGCTGCAGAGCAAGTAAAAGCTCCATGCCAAGGGAATAAAACGTATATTTAATGGAGGCCTAAGAACTCAGAGAGGCACTGCGTCTATGAGGCGATATAGAAGCTACTTCACGGGAACAAACTACTCTACTGTAGATATAACGAATCAAAGTAACAACAATTTCAAAAAGCACCACCTCTGTTGCTCTGCTAGAGAGACTCCTTCTTCTTCAAGTCGCTTGCTTTTGGCGACGCTATCTTCAATGCTTTTCAAACCTTTTTTCACCAAAAGAACTCGCCAGTCCAATTCAAATGGCTCTTCACTATCATCGGGATTTTGGTTGATTTCATCGAATACAGCAGCCCTTTTCTCAACTACATTCTGAGGCAATTTTCTCTTCCAGCCAAACTTCGTCGCCATCTTTGCTTATGAGAAATCGGTGTAACTGGTCAGCTGAGTCAGAAAAAAACCACGGGAAAGAGCACAGGAACGAGACTACAGGAACGTCATTTCAGAACGGGAGAGCGCGCGGAATAGTCTGGACACGACACCATTCGTGAGATCAAGATAGCTGAACTAGGCTAACATCTAGCCATCTCGACCTCAAGAACGGTCAATAAAGGATTTATTATAAAGCGAAAACAAAATCGATGTGATGAGAATCAAGAGTGACTTGTTTATTTCGAGAGCTAGGAAATAAATCGAACTGTGTTTGTAGGACCGTTTAATGTTTTCTTTTTTCTCTGTTACTCGTTTTTTGTGACCCCGTCGCCGTTTTTTTTCCAAAATTTACGAACTTTGTAGGTCCATTGCAAGCAATGTATTTTTCTTGCTTGGTATCAAGGCGGGCGATCCTGAGCGGGCAAGATGGACCCATCTCGCCCGCTGTGGAGATCTGGGCAGAAGCCACGATACAAATAGCGAAAGGAGAAAATGGTTGAATATGATGATGATGGTGATGATGATAATAATAATAATAATAATAATAATAATAATAATGATAATAATAATAATGGCGGCAAGTAGTGTGGACGTGTTTTAGAGTGTTCTCATAAAAATCCGTTCCCATCGAAAGCAGGCCGAGTTTAGAGCGCCAGAGCATACTTAAAGAAGTATCTAGTATACTTTGCAGATTGTTAAGCAGTTTTGCGAGACTATTTGGCCTCTCTGAGCGGGAGTTTTAGCTGAATTGATTTTTATTTTGTTTGGATATGCGAGCGATTTGTGTCATGGCGGATGGACGACGACAACAGGCGAACGGAAGGATACGATGGAATGTTAGGATGAACAATGACTTGTTGGAGTGCAAGAAGAGAGCTTTGGAAAGGGTGAAATCAGATGATCCCCCGCGGTTGAATAATGGACGAAAGATGGCTTATATGCAGATGATGAAAGAATTTTGGGAAGAGAAAGGATATGGTAACCTCGCACTGACGAGTCAAAACCTGCGGGATCAAGCCGCCAGACTAGAGAAGACTTTCGGTAGTGTTGCAAAGAGTTTGAGTGCAGGGATTGGGGGAAGTTAAAGAAGGAAGGAGGGAGAGAGTGTTTACGAAGAATTGGATGAGAATATTAATGGTTGCAAAGTGCTAATTCGTGCGCTGTGCAGGTAGATTTGGATTTGCATATGAGAGAACGATTTAGTCCCGAGGGGATGACAAGTACCATCAGTGAAGAGGCACGCACTTTGCTTGAATCCTCAATTACCATCTTACGCCAAATTAACACCTGCCAAGGTCAGTACAAAGCTTGCGAGTTTGACACCCGTATTAAGGAGAAACCAACAAAGCGCGACCTCGAGAACATCAATCAAGTGTTAGCAGAGCTGATGAGACAATAGAAAGTACTCCCTACGGACAACTCGTTCACGTATCTTTGGATCGCAAGCTGCGTTGTACTCTGTTGTTATTGCATTTTTGTTGTACAAACGTTGGAAAAAGAAAGGCCCGAAAAGACCATCAGCTGGAGAGAGTAAGCAACAGAAACGGCGCCGTTTGTACGTAGAAAAAGTATGTGAAATAATGTATATGTGCACGATCCTTCGCAGTAAAGCACTATTTAAACAATAGTGAAAATCAGACCTGAAAAAAATTCAGGCCTGTACGGGATTCGAACCACTGACCTCTGCGATACTAGTGCAGCGCTCTACCAATTGAGCTAACAAGCCAACTGGGAGCAGGCCATCAAATTAACTCGAGTTAACTCGAGTTAATTTGATGGCCTTACTGCGAAGGATCGTGCACATATACGTTTCATAACCGCAGTTCATATATATGTATTTCATATGTTTGTTGTTTGATTTATCATCTACGGGTTTATGTCGAATTAATTTGATGGCCTGCTCCCAGTTGGCTTGTTAGCTCAATTGGTAGAGCGCTGCACTAGTATCGCAGAGGTCAGTGGTTCGAATCCCGTACAGGCCTGAATTTTTTTCAGGTCTGATTTTCACTATTGTTTAAATAGTGCTTTACTGCGAAGGATCGTGCACATATACNGGATCTTATCGCCAATTTTTGGTGGAAACGTGCCTAAGCGCTGCATGAGGGTGTTATTTCGTCATTCCGTGTGATCTCCGAGTATGAGGAAGAGTATCCAGCATGGTTTTGTGAAGGGAAAACAACGTTAATCCCAAAACCCGGAGAGTTTACCAGCGACAACCAACGACCCATCACTTGTCTAAACACGCTTTATAAGTGGTTCACTTCGTGTCTGCTTGTCACAACAAACCAGCATCTTGAGGAGAACGATCTAATGGAGGGTGCGCAGAGGGGGGCACGTGCAGGGTGCAGTGGAACAACAGACAACTTATTGATCGACAGAACAGTTGCGTTGGATTGTCATAGGAGGAGGCGGAATTTGAGAGGGGCCTGGATTGATGTTAAAAAGGCGTACGATTCTGTAGATCATAGTTGGTTGAATGGGCTGATGACGTTACACAGGTTTCCCACATGGTTGTGTAAAGTCATTGCTAAACTGTGTAAGAGTTGGAACACAAAGGTAGTGGTGATCACAAGGGAAGGGAGACAGACCTCCGAAAGGATTAAGTTCAACAGAGGGTTACCTCAGGGGGATGCATTGTGCCTGAGGCTGTTCTCCGTATGCTTGAACCCAGTGGCATGGAAGATCAGAGCCGCTGAAGGATACCGGATGTCCAAACCTATTAACAGCAAGGTTACGGGACTCTTGTATATTGATGATATCAAGATCTTCGCTGCATCGGAGAGTAAGCTTAAACGGGTTATGAAGATGGTTAAGTCATCTATGGAGGATGTGGGGCTTCAGTGGAAGAAGTGGAAGAAGTGTGCGGTGGCCCATGTGAAAAGAGGGGTCCAAGTGACTGCTGTCTCAGGGGGGAGAGTTGTGGAGTCGACTAGAATACCATGTCTTGCTGATGGTGAGCAGTACAAGTTCCTTGGAGTACTTGAGAGTGTTAGGCAGGAGGATAAGTTGGTCCTGGAGTGTGCAGCAAGAGAGTATCTCAGACGATTGTCAGTTATTTGGACAAGTCCCTTGTCCGATTATAGTCGGGTGGTAGCGTCAAATCAGTTTGCATTGCCTGTTCTTGGATATCTCATGTGGACACAACAGTGGCCGATGATGGAACTTAAGCAGATCGATAGGGAAGCGCGCAAGATTGTTGTCGAGAGTGAGGGTAGACACCCATGTAGCTTGAATGCATTGTTGTATATGCCAAGAAGTAGAGGAGGGCGGGGATTGCGCTCTGTTGAAATGGAGTACAAAGCCACAAAAATCAAGGATGCAGTCAGACTCCATGGCAATGAAGATCGTGCACTGGGAATGGTACGGGAGTTTGAAGAGCAAGCGGCAAGGATGGGGCGTAGGTCAATTTTTAAAGAAGTGGCTAAGTGCGCGGAGGACTTGGGGCTGGAGTTGGATTTGGAACACGCGCAAGGGATCAAGAAAGAGGTGCGAAGGTGCCAAACTGAGAAGTTTGAGGAGGAGATCAGAAACCAACGATGGCAAGGACGTCTAGTGACTACCAGGCTGGAGGATGAGAGTCTGAGTGCCGATGGGTGTTTCTGGTGGCTCACAGAGTGGAAGAACTGCCCATCACACACAATTGCTGGACTCGTCGAGCTATACGAGCAGCTATTGCCAACGCGAGTATACACGAGTCAGAAGACCCACGCAAGCGGGGATGGCGAGGTGAGGTGCAGATTATGCGGCAAGGTTCCAGAGAGTGTGGCACATATCTTGTCAGGATGCAGTGCGCTGGCCCAGAGCAAGTATCTCTCTAGACACGACGCAGCACTGAAGGTACTGTTTTACGAACTGTTGTATCATGAGGGATTTATAGACGAGATACCACCCTGGTACTCACCCGACAAGCCGAAGCCCGTGTATGAGTCAGAGAATGTTAAAGCTTATTGGGATGTCCCTATCTATGCTGATCAACAAGAGGTCAGATGCAATAGGGTGGATGCACGCATTGTAAATCATATGTGCAAGAGAGTTGTGACGCTGGAAATGAGCTGCCCGTGGGTTAACAATGGGACAAGAAAGGATGAAGAGAAGACACTGAGGTACGGACCCCTTCGCTGGGAACTAAGGCAGCAGTTGCCAGGCTATGGGGTGAAGCAATATAACATCATTATAGATGCCCTCGGGGGTTGTCACGGGAGCTGGATGTCATGATGCGCGAGCTGGTGGGAGGCAGAATCACAGACGTACTGCGAATGATGTAGAGGGCAGTGCTCTCGGGCACGCTGAATATTACGCGGACTTTCAAGGTGGAAGTTTGAGTTCCTGCTAGAAGGAGGACCGTAGACACAACGGAAAAGCTTTTAAGGATTAGTTAATGTACATTTATTTTTTACTCCATGGTTCACAGGTTACGGTTTTCGCCCTCTGCTGCCTGATTGGAATGCAGCATTCAGTTGATTTCTCTGCGATAATAATACTGGGATGTCCCACTCTACGGAGAGTACCAAGATCTTAGGGCCAACAGAATTGATACGAGAATAGTAAACCACCAGGAGAAGAAGGTTATAGTGATGGAGATGAGCTGCTCCTGGGTGAGCAATCGTCAAAAGAAAACATCAGAAAAGGCGATGAAATACGCGCCACTCAGATGGGAGATGAAGCAGAAGTACCCCGGGTACGAAATTTCACAGTACAACATCATTGTGGACGTACTCGGGGGCTGGTCGACAGAAGTGGAGGTAACGTTGAAGGAGTTAGTTGGGAGGCGTCACAGAGATGTCCTCAAGAAGATGCAAAGGGCATGCATATCCGTCACACTGAACATTTCACGTACTTTTAAGGTTGCGATACATTAGACATCGTATTACCCGTGCTTCGGTTTGTCTCCTGCTCTAGAACTCTGAACATTTAGCATGTTTTAGCGTAATTTGGTTTAGTTTATTATATATATACATATACTTATTTTATCCTTACTTTTTAATCGGACATTACCTTTAAATTCTAGTATCACTAGCCGGAGCACAGGCTACGCCTTGGCGCCCTGTGTTCCTCTTTTACTGCTGATAATAATAATAATAAAAACAAAATCACAAGTCACTAATGAAAAATGCCGCCTATGCAGGATTCAAAGAGAATGTGCAGCACATTCTATCTGGATGTAGTGCATTGGCACGGACTAAGTACCTACAGAGGCGTAACAATGCTCTCAAGATCTTATTCTTTGAAGTCCTCAGATCTTTGGATCTCATTACTAAAGTTGAACCGTGGTTCTCACAAGTCACCCCAAGCCATTGTATGAAAATGAGCATGCGACCGCCTTCTGGGAAGGCCCATTATTCGCTGACACAACTAACAACGAAGTACAGTCAACTGAGACTGGAGCTGACGAACCGATACCCTGAGTACGAGGTCAATCGGTATAACATCATCATGGATGTCCTTGGGGGCTGCTCGAAAGAGGTTGAGAGAAATATTAAAGAACTTGTAGGAGACAAGTGTGAATCAATTATGCACCAAATGCAAAAAGCAATCCTGTCTAGTCCATTACACATTGCTAGAGTAAGCGTTTAGACATCTCTAGGAATTTTGGACACCCCAGCCGATTTTGATAGAAATTTTATCTTGTACATTTTCGAGATTATATTACATATCTTAGAGGGTCAATTATAGTCTGGCGGTTTGGCGGTTTAAGCCAAGTTTGAGTGCCGGTTTGCGGTTTCATTCACATTTATCTGGCGGTTTACGGTTAAGAAATTATCGTGCGGTTGCGGGAAATCATAAATTTAGCTCGCGGTTTTCGGTTTTTTGCGTGTTTTTGTGGCGGTTATTCAAACAGAGTTAAGAGGCTCTAAAGACTGAGCGGTAACTTTATCTTGCTTAAAGCTTCTCCCTTTAACATAGGATTGCCTTTTAGGGCTAGACTAAGTCATTCATGCGTTCCCTCTGTTTCTCCGACCATGTGGGGAGGGGTGGGGAGGTAATTTGATACAAGGCTAGGCTTCAAGGCTTCGAAAGAGTCACGAAAGCACGTGGAAAGATGACGGAGTGTGAGCTCCCCGACTAGGCCAAGTCACAAGTTGCCGATAAATCCCAAAAAATTTGCCGATAAAAGTGTCTAAAAGTTGCCAAAAAGTTGCTATTTTTTTCAAAAAGTTGCCGAAAAGTTGCCAAAATTTTTATGCTTTTCGTACCTTTTTGGGGTGTTTAAGATTAATATTTGCACATTGCTTCTTATCAAAACTTTATTTGTCAATAAGAACAGACAACACACCCAGCTCTAAAAACTTGTACTTTTACAATTCGTTATAAACATGTCGAGCAATCTTTGTGTTTGTAAACAGCCCATTAGACGTCAAAACCTTTTTGTTCGCTGGTTACTGAATGGAGTTCTATAGAAACAATTTGTTCTGTCCTTAATATCTTGTGGTCTTTGTGAGGAGAAATACGATTATTGAGCTAACATATCGCAAAGAATTTGCTACGTGCTTTTAAAAGATCGATTATGAGGATAATCGTCCTACCTGTAGGGCGGTGTCGGTTTTTAGAAAATAACCAAAGCGGTTTGCGGTTTCGAAGGAACAAAATATGGCGGTTTACGGAATGTAGGATCCCCTTTAATAGACCCTCATTTTAGGGTTCCCATAGGAAAATGAACAGCTATATGAACGACGATGTTTTTCAACTTATGAACAGTTTTAATTTTGTAATTAAGACGTCCCGAAAGCCTTTGGGATTTAATTTAGTTATTTATATATCAACAAAGTTGAAATGGTAAATTGGCCACCGTAACGATTACAAAAGCTGACGTTTCGAGCGTTAGCCCTTCGTCGGAGCGAATAGAGGAATTGTGGGTTGTGTGTGTTTTTAAAGGCAGAAAATGGAGCCACGTTATTGGTGGGAACATGGCAACGAGAAAAACATGAATAAATTAGTGGAATGAAAAGCGTTCGTTGATCCCTGTGGGATTTAGACTGCCGGTTTGAAAGATGAGCTTTTGTTCAAGATTTTTACGGCTTTCCGTGC